CCACAATAATCGTCAATGAAATAAGATAATGAAACCATTTATGAGTTTTAATTATTCCACCATTTTTTTTAATTCATTCTTCCCATTAAAATATAAATGCCACAATTGTCAAACGATATGTGTGTGTAGGTAAGTCATTTAATAATCTTTATCTAGTTAGATACTCCCTAATGAGTCTTTATACGCCGTAACTTTATTTTATTCAGATGTAAATAATCAAATCTTATGAGCAATAAACAGGTCAATATCACATGTCCAGTATTAGTTAACCGCAATGTTATGGCCTACCTGTTTAGTTATGAAACTGCAAGCCTAATTAGCTTCCCTTACTACAACGCAACACACCCGAGTCAATTAGAGCCTTTTGTAAATATTACATCACACATCACTATCATGACGATGCCAATTCAATTTAGTCGTAATTGATTCAATATTCCCGAATCCTTCCCGGATTTACAAATAACAGTATTGGTATAGATAAAGTACAATTTCAGTTTTTGACGTTAAAATTATGAATCTATAACTCATTTAAAAGTTGGTGAATTTCCACCTATTGAATGTAGTTATGTGCCGGATCATTAAAATTGTACATCCGCGGATACGGATCCGGATACAGATGATTGGCATCAAAATCCGCAGATACGAATACGGATACGGATCTTAACTTAATATCTATCTCAATAAAATCTCAATATTAGTGTATCCACCGTCCTTGATTTGTGTCTGATTCGAAGGATAAATTAGATTTTAGTTTTTCACAAATTGATAAAAAAATTGATTCACATTTTTAGACCCATGGGTCAAAGGAATTAAAGAAATTGCTTAAAACTTTGGAAAATAAAGTAAATCTCACAGCGACTACAAAAAGTACTAACGATAAACCAATGATTTCATAGTCTACTCGTAGAGAATCTATGGCTAACATGTTTGATAGTGATGATGATGATTAATATTAGATATGAAAACTCATTTGCTCATACAGTATATGTCAGAAAAAATATTATCAAGAGAGCCACGATCCATTCAAGTATTTATATGTATTTATTAACAGTAAGAAGTTTGGAGGTCATACGACTTGACCGTAAACCTGCCTCTTGCGCCTGAGGGTGTGGGTTCGATCCCCACTACTGGAAAAATATTGTGTAATGAACATATTGTTTTTCCAGTGTCTGGGTGTATAAAGGTATACTCACGGTGGTAGAGCTACGCAGCCGCCTCGGCTGTTGCACGAGTGGGCAGGCTCGTCCGGGTAAGTACCACGACCTCACAGAAGACCGGCGTAAAGTGGAAGTATGACAAATACTTTCGCGTTTCGTCTGGTGAGTGAGGTTGTCAACGCATCTGCAAACCCTCAGGTGTAGCAGATGTCTATGGGCGGCGGTATTCACTTAACATCAGGTGAACCGTCTGCTCGTTTGGCAACTTTTCACATAAAAAATAAAAAAAGTATTTATTTACAAAAGTATTCTAGGACCCATAGTACAAGCGTTGCTTAGTTTGGGACTAGAGAACGTTGTGTATAAAATGTGAATGACTTTTGGGGATAAAGCTGACAAGTTACTCTTTTTGAAGTACAATCTACGGTTCCTTTAATTGTCATTGTGTTTTTAATTAAAAGTTAACACATTGAGTGTCACAGTGTATTAATTTACTTAATTAGAATTATCAATTTTATTACGATTATAAGGGTAAAGATCAGTAAAAGATCCGTCAAAAATGTAGCTGATACGGATACGGATATCCGGAACATCACTAATTGGATGTATACATAAGAGTATAGAAAAATGGTATTGACAGACAGGAACATTTTTCTATAATTATCTCGTATATCTCATTTTTTTATAACTAATAATTTGGTCAAAATTTTCTTAAATCCTTTAAATTAAGATTGATCAAAAATAAGGTATTTATTAATCATATGAACATCTTCAAATCAAAAGTATGCACATTATAAATTATGAATCTGTATATATATTACAGTCAAAATTACCCGCAAGTTGAAACAATAAATAATATCAAGAATCGCCGTGCGACGTTCTGCCGGATACGGGATATGCCGTAACGCCTTTAAAATGAGACACGAAACAAGATTATTTTTCTTAAAGGCAAGCAGTGAGGATGGAGTCTTCTTCCTGGGGCGATATTCGTTCTTATATTCGGGAGCAACTCTGAATTCGGCAGCTGAGAGCCGGCCCTTATATGTATATCTGACTAGCTATTACCCGTGGCTCCGCCCGTTGGTCAAGGAAAACTGTCAATGAGTTTTGTACCAGGGTGACACTGACAGTTTTTAAAACTTTTTGACCATTTAGACACATTGCCAATGATAACTTAAGGACACATAGGACATATTTTTACACAACATTTTCTAGTCCCAAAATAAGCAACGCTTGTACCATGGGTACAAAAAAACTGATAAACATACTTAAACATACTTTTCTTTTGTAAATAAATACATACTATTCATATATAAGCACCCAGACACTAGAAAAACACTATGTTCATCACACAATATTTTTCCAGTAGTGGGGATCGAACGCACATCCTCTGGCGCAGAAGGAAGGTACACTACCCACTACGCCATTCGATTCGTCTTCGTTTAAATTTTGAATATGGATCTCACCGGCTAGTATATAATAAAATAATTAAAAATCAACATGGTTATAATAAAAGGGTATTTTACCATTTTTTTTTGTATGATATAAATTAAAATTTTTTTCATTATTACATTAAAAGAATGAGTCTGAAACTCGAAATAAACGAAAAAAACCTTTTTATTACAGACTGATATTCATGATTAACAAAATATCAAAGATAATAAAAGGAAATAAAAAGAAAAATAATGAGAGCAAAAATACGTTCAAGTTGATTTAGGAAGATTGAGGGTTACCTACCGATAGGCATTTCTTCCTGAAAAAAGAACGTAGTTCACGATATTCCTGCTTTATCGGGTTTATCTACCTTTTTATTGTTTCGCACATTGCAATATATTACCTTTATTTCTGTCTGATACATATCTTTATTACTTTCTTTGTTTAATGATGTTTTTGCGTTCTAATCTATAACATCTATGAATATTTCGTTTATTTGTTTCTGATTTAGCTATTTTTACGGAATTCAGCGTCTCAATTAATGTTATTTTATTCAGTCGCTAAAAGTAGACACTCAAAATCAAGTTAGAAATAAGTCTTCATTTATTAACCAGCTTTACACTACATTTTGAAGTGAAACTTTTTTAAAATCGTTGTGAAACTCAATGAAATGAAAATGCGCCACGGCAATAATAAGACAAATGAACACTAAAATATATAGTACTAGTTGCTGCCCGCTACTACGTCTGCGTAGAATAGGCTGCAGGCGTAACATTCAGAAAGAAAAACAGATATACATAAAAATATGTATATAAACTATAGCTTGTGTGTTATTCTGATGTATAAGCTATATTATTGTAAAGTTTCATTAAAATCCATTTAGTAGTATTTGCGTGAAAGAGTAACAAACATCCATCCATACATACAAACTTTCGCCTTTATAAGTTTATACATAATATATGCGAAAAGAGTTTTTCGCCAACATAATATCATAGTACAGACATACTAACATACATTCCTTCTATGTGTGTATATTAGTCAAGTCAAGAAATTGAAACTAAAACATTTGTTTCATATTTTAGTTACCGTAAGTGTTGTTTGTTCAAAGTAAAAACAATGGGTTTGAATAATATGTGATGTATTAAATTATGTAAAATACAATTTATATATATATAAGTATAATAACTTTACTCGTGGTAAATATAACATAATAAAAAGACCCGAATCCTACTCCTAATACTCAATATTGATCATTCTCTCGTAGGTAACTTTTCTGAAGTTTTACTTCCACCGTAAGTGAATTGTACACATAGCTTTTTATATGTGAAAAATTGACAGATGGGAAGGCGGTTACCTTATGTTAAGTGATTACCGCCACCTATGGACATGTAGAACACCTATAAGATCACAGATGCGTTGCAAACGAAATTGAAAAATGTGCCCTGGTTACCACACTCAACAGACAAAATGTGAAAACATAATACATACATTCATTCTCATACACATACACGCAGTCTAAAATAGCAGAAGAATAAAAAGAAAAGCAGATGAGCCGCTTAGGTTAATAAACTGTGTTAACAAATACAATACAAGAGGGAATTCGCGTATTACAAACTTTAAACGATTTTAGGCCAACTCCCTTCCAGTATAAACAAAAATAAAAAATAAGATTATTGGTAACTCTTTGCATTTTTTATAGCGTTTACCAAAATATCATTTTAAATATAATTTACGTGAGATGGTTACGTAGCATAACATAATAACTTGTTTGTCGTTCAATCATGTCATTAAGGATATAATCAAGGTTTTATTTCAAAGTTCCAGTCCTCGCCAAGATATAACAATACAAACTTTGTTCCGAATCCCAATAAACAATAATTAATGGTCCTTTACAAAACAAAAGTAGGTATCACAAAGAATCAGGTCGTAAAATAGGAACAAGGAACGTTTTTTTACTTTCACATAAACTAAACCTAATAAATAATAATTTAAAACAAAACGCCATCTGCGTGTTTGAAGTTCTCATGCAAATTAAGCAAACTTTTTTAATAAAAGGCTTTGAGGGAAAAACGTTGGTTAGGAGTTTTTCGGTTCAATTAACTGTAAGAACAATAAAGAAAATAGAATTTCGTAGTTTCGTACTCTAGAATGTTGACTTAGGTACGTCTTAAAATTATACATGACTAGCTTTTCGCCCGCGGCTTCGCTCGTGTTGAAGCCCTTAAATGCGAGAGAGGCACCGGGAAGGTCGCGGAATGGGATGCCAGTCGTAACAGTCGTCGCAACGGCCGTATCTCTTCGCTTGTCCCTGACTCCTCAATTTCGCTCAGGAATTCCGGCAATTTACTTCTTATCATAATGTTTCAAGGGATTCATATATTTAGTGTTTACGTTTTAAAACTTTTCTTATCTTGTTATCGCTAAGAAAAACTTTTGATTTCTTACTGAGGCGCCGAAGTTCTTCCAGACTTCTAAACAAAAAAAAACACAAATTACAAAGTATAAAAACGCTTACTTTATTAACTTATTTCTAATACAGTTATAAATGGTTGGAGTTAACTTTTAAGCAAAATTTTGTTTTAGTTAAGTAGCACCGCTCTTCCATTGCATAAAAAAAAGTAAAGTAACAGAATATACATGTCCCACTGCTGGGCAAAGGCCTCCTCTATACAGAGGATATCAGGGCATAGTCCACCACGCAGCCCCACTGCGGATTGGCGGACTTCAACATATCTTCGAAATATATTTTTTTTGTTATTATTTCGAAAATATGCAGGTTTCCTCACGGTGTTTTCCTTCACCGCGGAGCACGTGATAAGTCAGCACTTAAAGTTAAAAACTTCATTGGTGCCGGCACCGGGGATCGAACTCAGGTTGCTCGAGTATATTGAATTAAAGGCGAGCGCCCGGACACTGAGCTATCACGGCTATCCATTGGATGGATCCTTGCAATATACTGATACAATCTACCTCATTAGACATTATAATAATAGTGAATTTAATTTTCAAATCAAAACAATATATCTACCAACTATGAAAAATAAGCAAAACCTAAGTAAAGTACCTAAAGTGTAGTAATAACATGAAATTCTTTTCATAAAGTCAGTCTTATATTAATTGATTAGCTTTGTATTTTGATTAAATTTGTACATGTGTAGTCATAATGGATATTTACAAATACTTATTTAAAAATACTTGTAGTTATGGATATGACTTCTGTTGTGACAACAGCGCGGCACAATGTGCACGTGCTACGAAAATATAATTGAAAATCAAAAGCGCTCAGCAAGTTTGTCAAATCCTGGTTGAGCACCAAAGCAATGCCAACCGAAAAATAACCCCTAGAAAGGTGATGGTAACTGTTTGGTGGTCTAGTGCAGGTATCACCATCACAGATTTTTACAAAACGGTATGTACAATAGTGCTGATGTGTACTGTGAAGAACAGAAGACAAGATGGATAAGCTCGCACATCTGCAACCAGATTTGGTCAATCGGTCGTCCCAGCTGCTCCTTCACGACAACGCTCGACCCCATGCACAACAGACAGTGTCGAAGCTGCAATAATTAGGGGTTGGAAGCTCTACCTCATCAGCCATACTCACCAGACCTTACACCTACCGACTATTACTTTTTCCAAAATTTGGCGGAAGCGGAAAAAAAATCAATTCCCGAGAGGCACTACGAAACGTCAATGTGACCATGCCATGACAATCGTTTATCAAGCATAACACCTAGGCTTTTTTACTGGTGTTTTTAAGTGTAGGTGTACCAGAGTTTCTATGACATTCATGAACAATTTGAAAATCAAGCGAAAGTTGGCTGCCATTGTTCTTTGTGAAACAAATATTGTTACTGTTTTGGACATTTGGTGACAAAGAAAGCCTCCTCTACTATCGAAGAACACCCCAACCGAATTACGTCCGACATTTTTGTCGAACAAGTGAGTGACAAGCTCTCCATATCTCAGATGGTGACGTGAATGCCGCTAAACCGAGGCCCGGCGCCGGGCCGATTTTCTACAAGCCAATGCTGCACGATAAAGATAGCATCAGAAGAGTTAGCGAGTGTTCAGAGTGAACTGCTCCTCAATATGTTAGGCCAGAATCTCCACGCATTTCCAAAACCCGTAGCAATGTATAGCCGGCCGGTTAATTAATCAACAGACTGACGCCCGGATTCTGAAACACTGATCATCGTAGATGTCAACTAATCAGCTGTCAAATGGATTTCAAATTTCATTTTAGGTACCAAAAGGATGGTTAAACTCTCTGAATTGACCAGAATGATCTTCTTTATGATCAGAATGATCAGGGTTTCAGAAACCGGGCGTGAATGCTTAGTGGGTATTTAATCGTTGCAAGCGGTGACCGGGATAGTGTTAGAAGCCGCCTCTTTAGCCACCGTAATACGTTGAGTAAGTCTGACGGCGACGTTCTTAGTCCTCCGGTGCAAAGATCAGCACGAGCAATGTTATTCCCGAGTCAGTCGGAAAGAGTGATCAGCGTGGGATGGCGTTTTCAAAGTCAAAGTCAAAGTCAAAATTTCTTTATTCAACATTTATTTTAAGCTTATTTTAGGCTTATTTCGAGCTCTTATCGAGCGTTGATTGTCTAATTCGTATAGCACGTCGAGCTTTAACAGTAGGTATTCCATGTGCGGCCGAATCCGTGCTTCATAGTTACAAGTCACAATTACAAATGCGCCATCAAAAAATACTGTCTCGCTCCACTTATTGATCCAGGGCTGGGTTCTGCCTCCATTGGGGATCGTAGAGAATGGAATAAAAATCTCCATTCTCTAAAATACCACATCGGCGTTAGTGATATCATACAAGTAACAAAGCCCAGGTATCGGATCCCGGTCTGCTGGTATGTAGTGCTACACACGGCGGAAACCTGCAGAGCGCATATGGTTTGACCATATGGCGGGCACAATGGGCCGGACCAAACAGTGACCTTCATTATGTAGGGCTGTAGGCCATTGATTGCTTCTGCTGTAATTTATTTCCCCAGTGCAAATTTATGAAATATACAGTAATATAGTATATAAATTAGTAATAACTTGGCACTTGGATATGATTCATAAAAGCATGCCGCAATAAATATTTAATATTAATATTTACAATTTATTATTTAATAAATTTGAATTTCATGTGAAGTCTGATATATCACCGGTCCACCAAAACACTAAGTTATTTTCCATTTCATTGGAATATTTCATATCATGACTATTTATTGAAATACCTAGAGCTCCATGATTGCACTTCTCTTCTACAGAATTTGTTTCATTTTCATCACTAATTGCTAAAACTGGATCTTTAAAATGATATTGACCAGAACCAGTAGCCAAAATTGGTCGAAATGGATGTATTGATACACTGTTGCAACAATCTTTGTGTAGTGGAAACTGTAAAAGATTAACAAGTTATCATTATAATGAACTTTAGCAATTAGTACAAACAACAGAGGAATGTAATACATTAATTACTTAATACATAACTTACAGTATATGATACATTATCTTTTTCTACATCTGTCACATCTAAACTGGAATACCAATTTACTTTATTCATATCCCACACCTTTAACATACCATCAGTACCTCCAGTGACCAGATATCTACCACATGGAGATATATCAAAGTAAACCCTTTGATTAGTGTCAACAACCCTGCTCAATATGTTAAGAGGCCTCCGATAATATCTTATGTCCCAAATAAGAAGCCTGTGATCTTTGCGGCCGCCTGACACAAGTCTAATTCCATCAGGTGTAAACTTCATGTGAGTTACACCACCTATAAAAATAAAGAGAATATTTTTTAATCTCATATCGCCTGTTTAGAGGATCGGCGGAGGATATGATAGTCTTAGAAGAACCCCTAATCCACTAAAAACCTTATAACACATCTTTGTTGCATTTATCAGGAGAAAGCAGGAAAATGAGGAAACAATTTTCCATGTCCCATAGTGAGAATGGCCTTCTCAGGCTTCCTATACTCGGACTACTACTACTTGCCTCATACTAAGCAATAAATGCTCCCTATTATCAACACACAAGTGCATGTTATATACATATCATTAGGGAAATTTACATATGAATGATAACTCCGTGGCACAGTTGCCAAGGTATTAGCTTCAACGTCGGTTCGATTCCCACTCGGGACAACTATTTGTGTGACCCACAAGTAGTTGTTTCGCATCTGGGCGTGTCAATTTATGTTTGTAAAACGTCCCTACAACACAGGATAATGTTATCCTAAAGTAAGGGCAATGTTTTTTATAACATAAAATAAAAATAAAATATATAAAAAAAAATATGAAGGCCACGCCCTAGTGTCGGAGACAAGATGAGCTGACTTGTTCCAGCCTGAACTTGATTAATAAGCAGAGTTCAAACAAAAATCAATATTACCTGAATGCCCATGCATTTTTCCTATACTTTTATAGCATCCCATTTCATTTACATTGAATAGATTTATACTTGTATTCCAAGAACCAACAGCAAGAAGATTGCTGTTTGTAGCGAAACATGACGCTGGTGAATTTATTTTATGCTCTGCAAATTCCCTACCAGGCCTATGAAAAAAAAAATAATTCCAATATTATTGGTTAATTGGTTCCATATAAATATAAAAAAAGTATATTTAATTATATAGAAAAGTGTCATCCTGATAGTTAGTTTTCTTCACAATGACTTATAAAAGTATAGTGATTTCAAATTGTTTGACATAAAAATGAATATATATCATCATATATTTTAATTATTAAGCTCCATTAGGATACCTTTCAACATCAAATGTCCTCAATACTTTTTTATATCCAGCAATAATTCTACTGCCATCAATATTAAAACTCACTGATATGGCTGGTTCCATTTCATCTAAAGAATTAAATCCTCTATAAGAGCACCTTAAAGAACCATCAAATGCATCCCACATTTGCACTGGTGCATTCTTTCTTGTTGTCAGCCAACTGAAAACCAATTAAAATATTTATAAGCATTGCAGGCACCCCATGGATGCAAATGGCAGTGCTGTTTTTTGTGGCATTCTAAGGGGGTCCTTTGTTCAACAGTAGATGTATTGTGGCAGACGATGATGATTATGATATTACCCCTCCTTAAAAGGAAAAGTTGTGGACCCCCCCACCCTTTTCAATTTTCTTTAATTTTTAATTTTGAAAAAATTTTCCTCATTTTATGGATTAAAATTCACGATAAGTGTAAAAAATAAGAAGAACTATTTGGAGGGGAAGGGGTTCCACCCTAATCAGTAAAAAATCTCTCAAAAAACATCTCTGGCACTGCAGGCCTCTGAGTTTTATTTCATTCTTGTCTGACAGATTTCCATAAATATAGGACAGGAAAAGGCTTTACAAATTAATGTGACATCAAAATAAAAGACAGCAAGACAATGAATAGAATTATTGTTGTTAAATCACAAAATCATAACTAAGTACTCACCAACAAGTTTCAGGAATACAACTGTTCATTCCAGGATACCAACAAAAGTCATAAATAAGTCCACCCTCCCTAATATGAATAACAGATTCCAAAACATCTATCATGCGACTAGAGTTCACTGATCCAGAGTATAGATCTCTTGGAAGTTCTGTGATATGCACTCCATCGTTGTTAACGACGGAAAGACAACATGTACCATCTGGTGACCATTTGCAACCACGCAAATAAGACTGCAATTCTGAATTAACATTAACAGGTTGAGACCAAGAGGAACAACAAAGTTCTAATAAAGTTTTACTATTAAATAACGTTGGAAATATATGTACGTTATTCGCATTTGATGTATTAATATCAGTCTTTTCATAGTCATCATTCTGTGTGGTATAACTTTTAACGTTGTAAGTACTTATAGTCTCATCTATCTCCATTATGCTTGAATTTTTAAGCACGTTTTAGAAAAGTCTTGCACTTTTTCTTTTGTCAGTTTCGTTTATAAACTGCTCATTGAATATACAAAGTATTTAAACCAACATACAACGTGGGATTATAGTAACAATTTAATTCACAAAATAAACTTTTTTTACTTTAGCATTGTTACTATAAACAGAACAGATAGGGAACTACGGAATATCTTCTTCTTCTTCTTCTTTTTATTAATGGCTTGCTTTGTGAGTTATCACAATTACGCCAATGTCAAGTTATTCTTAAAATTCTCAATTTTATAATATTCACATTAAAATTGTAATAGGCAAATAAAAACTTCCTACGGAATATCGATAATCGATATCTATCCGTCACTCTGTCGGTCAGCGGTCTGTCAAAAATGTACTAATAATTAATAAATTCCTTTTAACACAGGATTTTATTTGTACTCTCTAACTACTGCGTGTAAAGAGAACAAAAATAAGTTATAATTATGGGCATAACAGAGTCTGGTCCTGACTTTATAACATAAATATAAATATTTTTAAAAATCTCAACGTATTTTGTCTACTTTTTTTTTATTGCATATAAAGCACCAAGCATTGTTTGCTGTATCTTAAGAGCAGAGAATAGTGCAATAAATATAATATCGTTTAAATATTTACATAAAGTGCTTTAGGTAAAATAATTATTTAAAAAAAATCAACATGGCGTAATTTCATGTGGCTTATAAACAATTAACAAATATCTAATATCTTTTCATAAACCGTAGTAACTTTTTGTGAAACTTTCATGATGATTGTATTTATAAACAGCTAACTACTACACATATACAAAAAAGTCTACAATAAATAAAAAAATATAATTAAAGCTATATTCACAAATTAAAACAACACTGGTTTAAATGTCAAAATGATTGATTTACCATTCGTTTTCATTCGCTTGACGTTTCTTTGGTGTTAAACAACCGAAAAGACGTGATCTCATAAATCTGAATCTGAAATTATAATTAGTCTGAAAGAATTTGTTAATGAACGGTGGTGGACAATTTTCATAGCAGATATTCAAATTTCATTTCTATTCTCCTGACCTGTCTGTCTACTCATGCTAAAGTATTGTAAGAGTGCTAAAATGATATTTACTTCAAGAATATTTTGTAAATATTTTTAATGTGGTTTTCCGTTTTATACATTACAATTAATTATTTTAACTGTGCGATTTTTTGCCTTTAAAGATGCGGATTAAAGTATTCAAACGCGGGTTTAAACTAGCTATCGGGAGTTTGCGAAAGATAATGTCGTTCCCCGATTCACCTGCAAAAGCTTCGTTATGCTGCGAAGAAACTCTGGAGAATGCACCACCAACTTATGCCATGTACGAAGCTTTAAAAGATTCTTGCCAAAACAACGCTACGTATTTTCAACCAGACGACAGTGAAAACGGCCAAAGACTATACCAAGGATTCATGACTCTTATTGATCACATTGATACTGTATGGCCACTTGTAGATCATGTGAGAAAGGTTAGTTTAACTTATTATTAAAACATAAAAATACTGGTAACAAGGCAATGCTGTGTATGATATTTTACATTTAATATATTTTTTTTAATTATTATGGCATTTGGGTTTATGTAATAGCAATTGCATGTGATGAATATGAAATTCATAATAATAATCAATTTCATATTCTGTAAATTGATATATAATCTAATTTAACAATAAAAACAAAATACCTTTAAGTCTATATAGAGCTTTATTAGAATGCCATCTATAATTTAAAATAATAGTTTTATAATTGAAAGAGCATCTTTTTAACAATATTACATTAATGTCCGTACAAAACAATATTACATAAATACCTGTGATAGCTCAGTGTCCGGGCGCTCGCCTTTAATTCAATATACTCGAGCAACCTGAGTTCGATCCCCGGTGCCGACACCAATGAAGTTTTTAACTTTAAGTGCTGACTTATCACGTGCTCCGCGGTGAAGGAAAACATCGTGAGGAAACCTGCATATTTTCGAAATAATAACAAAAAAAAATTTCGAAGATATGTGAAGTCCGCCAAACCACAGTGGGGCCGCGTGGTGGACTATGCCCTGATACCCTCTGTATAGAGGAGGCCTTTGCCCAGCAGTAAGACATATACAGGCTGTTACTTTACTTTTACATTAATGATATGTTCTTAAATATCAGCCTGTGTATGTTAATAATATTTATCAATAATATATAACACTATGCAATGATAGTAGACAATTATCATTTACCTACTAATATGTAACAAAACACTATCAATGCAACATGTTTACTACAAATATTTACAGCTGTTGTACAACATGAAGTCTGAAATGAAATCTTACTTGAACTTTAAACTTTGATCTGTGTAGTCATCTGTGAATCATTATCTAGAATATAACTGCTAACAGACAAGATTTGTTTTTATCTTATATGCAACATTGCAGTTAAACAAGAAACTAAATGACTAATACAATCTAATTGTACAATACAAAAAAAATATACTAAAAACGAAAAACTATGTAATCTCCAAAATTTTACTATTCTATCTCTATATCTCATCTTTTGAATAATTTTTCCAGGTGGCACCACTATATGATTTTGATGCAAAGTCGCCAGGCAATGGATATCGAAGCTTTGTATCAGTTGTAGATTCTTGTGTTCTACATGGTCTTAAGCTCAGTAGACAAGTGTGCTCTGGAAGGGATGCTCTGCTTTTTCGTAAAGGCTACTTTGTAAAGTAAGTGGCATACAATTTTTAACATTCTATTTTACTCCACTCTGTACATATCAACTATATTTGTAAGCTATTTAATCAAAATAGATCTAGAACTTTTAATAACTTAGTCTGTGTTAGGTTTACTTTGAATAGTTTAATTCGGCCACACAACAGGTTTTGCAGTTGCATGAATGGGCAGGCTCAATGCATCTGCAAGCCCTCGGGTGTTGTAGATGTCCATGGGCGGTGGTCTTCACTTAACATCAGGTGAACCGTCTGCTCGTTTGACAACTTGCCAAAAAATTATTAAACTAGTTTTAATAATTTGCTTCATACGAAATAAGTAAGATGTCTTAATTATGATATGAAAATATTTTAGTGAAGATACTCAGTAATAGGATTCGTAGTAATTTTTATAATTACTTAGCTAACTCATTAGTTAAGTTTATTGTTAAGTTAATGAACTTCATATTAATTTGTAACCACCATGACTATCAAAACCATAGTCAATTATTAGAGAAACAAGTGATATGGTATAAAAGTTGCATTTCATGTTTTTGGCAATTTTTTACATATTTTGGCCAACTCTTAAATGAAATGTAAGACTTAATATAACTTAACATAGTTTTATTTGCCATATGCATTTGCATTATGGCATGATAACTTTTTCTACAATATTTGTGCTTCAGATAATTATTGTAATGAATGTTGACATATATTCTCACAAATTCCAATATTTCTTAGACATTTGGAGTGAACCAATTGATTGGGTATTAAGTAAGTATTAAGTTTTTAACCAAAAAATTGAGTGATTTGAATTTCTTCTTTTTATTTTTCTCTTTTTTTAATAAATATGGGCATAACAAATTTTAAATATCATAGGTAAAATATGATTGGTATAAACAAACTGTTCAATGATGCACAAGTGATCTAATTTGCTTATTAATTAGTGTAATTTTCACTAACTCTGGAGTAGCAACATGTTCGTTTTTCTTTGTGTATTTAAATACAGCCAACATGATTTTATTGCGATTTAAGAAGTCATTTACTGGGTTATTAATCTTTAAAATTTAGGTTTTTTTTTTTAATAGTTTTTTGTAAATGAAACAGATTTTCTTTGCTACAAATCGATTGGTTACATTTTGAGTGCAAAATTAATTTTTTAAGGAGATACAGTGGATCGTCCTCCATCCTTAAATATTAAATAAAATGTAGACAATGCAATGGCGGATTTCTTCAGTGTAAAATCACAAGATTCATTGTTTTTTTTTTCTCAAAAACCAAACTACGTTTTTTACCCTGTAAATATGATTTCGGTTACGTTCCTCTATCGATTAAAATATGGCGTACTTTTATAAAACTCCATTAAAATCGCTCAGACTGAAAAATAATGAGAATTCTTAGTAAACCAATCCCTACCTGTAAATAGTTCTTATAAATAACAATTCTCATACCATGTGAATTTTTATTAATAATAACTAAAAACCAGTGCTGGCCAGTACTAAATTAAAAAAAATGTACTGTGATTGCTTCCGCCAACCTTTCTAGATAATCGATATACAAAAATAATTACATAAACTCTCTGGAAAGTTAAGATAGACAAAGTTAAGTTGAAATCTTTATTCAATCATCGTAATAACTTCTCTTCATTTTTATACAGGGGGGTTTTTCTAAGTGTATCTATGGGCAGCTCATTTATTTTACGCGCGATCATTCATAACTAACACGCACACAAGTTCGTTTCAAAAGTATACGACGCATTTATGAATGACTACCGTATTGACAACAAGTTCTATTTTTTAGGGAATGGAATGGCATTTTCTTTGAAAAAAAAAAAGTTTGTTTTTATTTCAATAAACGATTATACTACCGAGTCTGAACCTCCTGTGTGAATTTGGGCATCTTTAGAAAAGGCACCCTGTATATAATATTTTTTAATAATAATAATAATTTTATTTAATTTTATAATAATAATAATAATAATAGTTTTTATCGGAATATTTATTTTTGCTAAAAATATTTAAATGAAAGAATCAAAGAAAAGAGATCTGTTCGACACGGTATTACAAAAACAAATTCGCTCGAACCTTGAATAATGAAATGCGAGTGGATTTATTTGATTCCGTGCCAAGATAATCGGAATTTCAATTGGAATAAATCGTCTTAAAAGTTCTTAACCAACACACAACACAATGGTGTAATATTTTACTGCGCTTGTTGAAATCAGACTAAGTGTCAATATTTCAACACAATTAAAGATTCTGTGGTTCATGGACTGTAGCTTGAGGAATACCTTCACAGGGTCACCGTAATGCAGAATCAGATTTAACGAGATTGTTTTCCGTAACATCTTTTGCACCTCCTTAGTAAAGAATGAAAAAAAACTCCTGTTTAAAAAAAACCGTCCGTCATAAAATATAGAACGTAAATATAGAATATATATATAATTTAAATTGTTGCCATATTTAAAATATATATCGTACAAAGCGTTTTCGTAATTTATCACTACCGTGAAATCTTCCAGACGCCTCGTTAGTTATTGTAGGTTATAAGTTATCGCGGTTAACGGCCATAGATGTCAAAACATCTAATATTTCTTAAATGTTTTATCTCCCAAGCTATTTCATCATATATGTACCTACCGTATGCGGAATGTAATCAAAAGTCTATATATAGGGCGACTGATACCACACACATCAGAAGAAACCAGAAGTATAAAACATCCACTTACCGCGGGTCTTCTGTGAGGCGGTGGATTCTTTGGAGGAAAGAATCCTAAGTCAAATCATCCCCGAGTACCATAGTCATAACTTCATAATAACTACCTAAAATCTAAATGGTTTTTTAGCGAAATTCTAATCGGTTTTTTTACAATACGAAACCTAATAATACCGTTGTTTACAAATTTAGTCTGTAACTAACGTGTAGTTGGAGCGAGACAGCAAACAATTTACTCTGCCGCGCAAATAAGAGGACCATGCGCCCCCTTTTCTTTGTATTTAGAATAGTACCTGGAGGACCTCTTTTTTTGGGTAAATCGTGTATTTTGGAAATAAAAACAAAAAATAAAGAAAGCAATGATCTGGAATCGAAAAAAAAGTAAAAAAAAAGAGTGTGTAAATGATCGTGACACGAACCACGGCCGTCTGTTTTGGGGCCGCCCGATTACCGACCGAGCTATTATAACATTTATTTTTGCGGCGAAATTTACCGTCATATTCGAATGATTATTTTCATTCCCTGAAAACAGGGATAAAAGGTCATTTTCTAAAAATAAAACCTAGCTAGATCGATTTTTCGCCCCCGAATCTACGCACATACTAAATTTCATGAAAATCGCTGGAGCCGTTTCCGAGATTCCGATTATATATATACAAGAATTGCTCGTTTAAAGGTATTAGATTGTAAACGTATTCTCTTTAACGTCTTCAGTTCATTGTGAACTAGAGTATTTGCTAAATGAAATAGGTTATTTTAATGTCGTTTCAAATCCGTTGTTATATTCGAAACAACAAATTCACGACGGTTCTATTGTAAATTTGGCAAAAAAAAATATTAAATAGATCCCCATCATCCGGCACCAAATGGTAAAATTTAATTTGTGCCAGTAATAAAGAAAGACGCGGGCAGTTTTTCTTTGCGAATTTATCTTCCTGAATAATTTACGAAAACGTGTTTATAAATAATTCAATACGAATTTACATATCATTTATTAAAAAGCCTGTAATTTATGAGACAAGTCTACAGCCTAATTTATTTTGTTCGCTTATTTGGAATTCACTTACCTGTGAATAAACGAAAACTACACTAAATTCGCAGCTGGACATGGATTTTTTTTGTGCTCCGTATTGTTAGGTTCAATAGTGGAGAATGATTTGAACGAAGATCGACTCGAGTACCTTGTAATAATGCGCAGAGGTAGGCAAAAGCTTCTGCTGTTGTACGAATGGGCAGGCTCAACCGGGGAAGTTACCAGACGCCTTAGAGAAGACCTGGTGATCTGGAACTATTTATCTGCGTTTCGTCAGGTGAGTTAGATGTCCGGGGCCCCACTTTTTTGAAGTTTGTTAAGGCATCTCCAAGCCCTCTAGTGTTGTAGATATCCATGGGCGGCGGTTTTCATCATATACAGGGTGATTTTATCGACGATATACATATGCAGAATTTTATTCTAAATCTACATCTGGTGCGTACTTGTGAGCTCATTTTTTTTTTCAAAGATTATTTTTAATCTTTTCAAACATTATGGACACATTAAAAAATTCCCGCCTTACAGTCTCAATACAATAACCTATTCACGAGCACTAAAACTTTTCGCTGAACGCATTATTACTAAACCGCTTATCAATAGGGTGACCACTCTTAACGGGATAAACAAAGAATTTTTGAATTGATATTATTCTGGTCAAAATAAAATATTAATATATTTTTTATAAATAAAAAATATACCTACCACCCTGTATACTACAAGTCGATCGGTAAAGTTTTTAAGTGTACAATTTATTTTGAAAAGAGACCCGCAAAGCGAAACATATACATCAAGTGAAACACCTGTACACTTTACAACTGTTGATGTCAGACAGCAACTTTATTGAATCTAAATCAGAAATACGACATTTCTCCAGTATAATTATTGTAACCGCAACTCTAAATAGCGCGTCAACATCACAGCTATAACTTTCATTAAAAGAACTTGTTTGTTGGATGTTGTTTCCGCTTTTGCTATCGTCTAAAGGAATATGTATAGCTTGATTCCCACGTATTCAAATAATAATAACTTTATTCATAAAATTACAGCCATGAATATTATTCATAAAATCATAGCCCCTGAATCCTAAACTAAGAATCTGTATCTCAGAAATCTGCTCCGTTCCAATTTGAAACAACAATACTAATGATAAAGTTATGTATTGCAAATCACAAACATGACGATTATTTAGAGGTGAGCGCGCGAAGCGTGTGTCTTTGTGGTGACATGAGTATGTATGTTTAAATTATAAGAGCTCTAATTGGTATAAAAATGACGAAAAAGCATGTCGCAAGCATGTTGAAATGACTAGAAACTCGGTAAAAGTAATTGTTCTTTTCAGGGAAATAGAGTCTTGCGGGCAACTACTCGCATCTCTTGGGACTTGTCTTCATCATCTGCAAACTTTATTGTCGTGGGCGCCGCCTGGCGACCTGTTCCCCACTGAGCAGCATTCACCAGAAGAGCTATTCTCGCAGGCCGACACCATCAATCAGTATTGCTTCTACGGAAGATGTCTTGGGTTTCAGGTTTTTAAAAATATTTATTTTAATAAGTGTTGCCTTTCGCGTATTCTTAACGTATTTGGACAGAGAGAGACGGGTAAACATAACATAGCTTATTTAGTTTCGAACGTATTAGATGTTTGTGGGAAATAAATCGTTGTTAAAATTATTACGTAAACTTCTAGTCCGGCTGATTCGAGTCTAGTTTTACAAGTTTCTAAAAGAATAATTATTGTTCATCATTTTGTACCACTTTGTACATCGCAATTATAAAATTTATAAAGTAAAAATTTATGAGTCGTTTGATTGTAACAATAACATTATTGTGTTGCTTTTATTTAGCCTTGCTACCGGTATGCGATACAAGGCCAGATTTAGCTTTTATTTGTTACTTGTATGCTTTTTTATCGTTTCCCGTTGAGTAGATTAGGAGGCAATGAAATGTTAATTAATAGGAAACAAATGAGTAACCTCTTCAACAAAGAAAAAACATTGACCTACACTGCCATTGATATGCAGTGGCATAGCACGTCAATGGATTCTTTTAGACGACTTGACTGGCTTAGTGGATAGAGAAACTGTCTTTTGCGCCACAGGATCTGGGTTCGATCCCCACTAGTGCAAAAAATATTGTATCCTGAACACAGTGTTTTCCTAATGTCTGGGTGTTTATGTATCGATGGCCACGCAACGGCTTCGGCTGTTGCACGAATGGGCAGGCTCGTCCGAGGAAGTACCACAGCCTCGCAGAAAACCGGCGTGAAGTAAAAGTTATTATACTTTCGCGTTTCGTCTGATGAGTGTGGTAACCGGGGCACTTTCTTGGTTATCTTCTCAGGGCTGTAGATATCCATGGCGGTATCCACTTAACATGAGATGGATCGCATGCTTGGTTGATAACTTTTCACATTAAATAAATATTTATTTACTAAAAGAATTATGTTAAAATATCGGTTATATGGTAACCATAGTACAAGCTTTTCTTGTTTCGGGGCAGCAAAAATATGTCCTGATATTAAAATTATTGATCATTCATTTATTATTAGCTGCTGCCCGCGACTACGTCTGCGTAGGCTGAAGGCGTAACTTTGAGACAGAAAGACATTTGAGAAGATATACACAAAATATGTACATAAATTATAGCCTATGTTTTATTCTGATGTATAAGCTATATTATTGTAAAGTTTCATTAAAATCTATTCAGTAGTATTTGCGCGAAAGAGTAACAAACATCAATCCATACATACAAACTTTCGAGTTTATAATATTAGTAAGGATATAGATAAACAACGCAACATCATTGTATCGTGCTAAAGTTACGCTACGCCTTCTTTGTTCGAATGCGTCGGCTCGCCCTAATAAGTACAGCCCACGACTAAAAAAAATCGTTGTAAGGTTGTCGCGTGAACCGTCCGTATAATTATTTTTAATTATTTTTTATCTGTGAAGGTGACAAGCGAGCTGGCGGTGCACCTGATAAGTGTTAACCGCCGTCCTTTGACATTTGCAACACACGTAGGATTGAAAATGCGTTGCCACTTTTTAATAACGTGGGCCCAGGCTACCTCACTCATTCGACGAAACGCAGATATATAACACTTCGACCTTGCGCCGTACGCCGGTCTTATTACGGTCGTGGTACGTCCACGAACGGACGTGCCGTGCCCGGACCTGTTGCGTGGCCCTACCAAAATGAAAATTATTCGTAACCTTCTCATAACCTCTTCATAAAGAAAATGCAGCTAAACTTCCTCCGCTTCCAGTTCACGCCGTCGATGCGGGGCATACTGAAGGGCATTTCTATATGCATGGCCGGCTTCTCCGAGGCTTACTACAGCCACGGGAACCTGATCAGCTCGGTGTGGACGGGCGGCCAGTACCTCATCGACCCCGAGATGAGGGCGCGCCGGATCGTGAACATATCGCAGTCGGCGAGCGTTGAGTTCTGCAAGGCGTTCTGGTTCCTGGCCGAGAGCGGTGCGCAACATTTGGTTCTATCGTTGACCTTGTTTTTGGTGTACCTCGCCGACTTGCTTTTGTGAATTGGATCATCTGAATTTATTGGGTTTTTTCATGTGAGAAGGTGGCGAACGAGCTGGCGGTTCCCCTGATGTTAAGAGATAACTGCCGCCCGTGGATATTTGCATCAAATAGAGTTGCAGATGCGTTGACACGTTTTAATAAAGTGGGTTCCGGCTACCTCACTCAACAGACGAAGCGCACAATTGTAACAACACTTCCACTTCACGTCTCGAACAATCTTTTTTGAGGTCTTGATTCGCCCGGACGGACCTGAGTATTCGTGAAACTGTGAATATTGTTGCGCGGCCCTACTACGGTAAAATTGTTTTATTGTTGTTTTGATTAGGTTGCGAATTTGGTGCCGAGTAATTGAATTTTCAGAATTTATAGGTTATAGTGAAATTTATCAAAAATAAGTATATTTTTATGTGGTCTTACTTCTATCTGTTCAGTTTATTTTCCTATGTAAGTCTTAAAGTCTATGTCGTATTGCAAATTTTGAAAATTGGTTTTTAGGACCGAAACCGAAACCGAATCGGCAACTGTCTCCTTTCGGCCGAAACCGAAACTCCTAAAAAAAGGATCATGTATTGAGGGAAAAATAAACATCTTTATATCATATAGTTATGTAGTTTTCGACACTTTCACTTATTGATATCAATTTAACAATTAATCAATTTAACAATCAATTTAACAACCTCATTTGAGAAAAAAATACTAATGCGCCTTAAAAAGACTCAAAATAGGTTACTTAAAGTAGGTTTATTTTAGCGGTTAGATTCTTTCGCCTGTTTCTTCTCCGTTACAGGAACCTCATTACGTAACGGTAATAGATTAAAAAAAAAATTACTATCAATAAATGACATGTATTTTTCTTATGTCGATGAATAAATGATTTAGATTTTTTTTTTGTTGACGAAAAACCTTCAACGATCCATCGCTTCTTTTAGTCTTCGTCGCTTGCTTGCATGGACGGAATTTAACACGCTGATGATGACATATATTATATGATCACAGCGCGAGAACTCCGGAATGCAGTTTCGGTCGTAATTTCGGTAGGTTTGGCGCCGAAACCGAAACTAGTTTTTTTGTCGAAACTCTTCTTTCGCTCAACCCGAGCTTTAGGTTGGACAGTATACTGTGGAGATATTACTCATAACTATAGTAGTTCAACGCTGTTGAGGATCAGAAATCTGTTATCCAAATTTTTCATTTAAATGACAAAGAGCCACCTCTTGCACACTCAATGATATAGACAAGTATAGCAAGCGAAATCAATCCAACCCAACAGGAAATCTTTGACGCGGGACATGACCTAATCAATAACTTCAGATATGCAATCGTAAAAAAAAACATTTATGCACCAAACAGAGGTTTGAACCCGTACCATGCTACTGCTAGCCGACTTTCCACCCTTCAAGGATTCTTTGTGGTGGTCAAATATCTATTCTTTAATTGCAGAAATAATGAAACGTGTGCCCAGTCTAATGTCGTCGACCGTTGCCGTCAACAAGTTGATTACGATACCACCGGAGCCGATAACGGTCACCACTTTGGACGGCAAGGAGACCACCGTGCCGCCGCCCACCGACTACGTCGGCCTCCAAGGACTCAACGTCAGACTGATCAGCGTCAACAAAAGGGCCGGTATGGTGAGTAGGTATCCTTATTAGCCATGGTTGTTTTTGGATTTAATCAGTTAGGTATAAACCGGCCGGCAATGCAATTGTGACTACTCCGATGTTGCAAGTGACCGTACCATCGGGTGACCGATTCTTAGTTTGCCTTAATTTCCTATTAGAAAAAAAAAACTGGCAAATCTTTGGGTGCAATAACTAGTCTATTGCTTTATTAGCTGTGATGGCGAACAGGCGGGTACTGTAGGAGTAGACTTTCTTCTTGAAGGACCCTAAATCGTTCCACCTAATCGTTGGTCGGCCGTTCGCAGACCGGCGAGGGCACACAGTTTTGATCACTCTATCCGCCTGCTAGCCTGGTGGCCAGAGTGACCCACAACCACAGCCTAGTTTATTGCGCGAACTGATTAGCCAGTCTCCGTGCTCAGACCGGCGAGGGCGGCTCCAGCCCGCCGGCGGAGGGCGTACTGTTCCACTGCCACGGCGGCGGGTTCGTGGCGCAGAGCTCCAAGTCGCACGAGACGTACCTGCGCGAGTGGGCGGCCGAGCTGGACGTGCCCATCCTCTCCGTGGACTACAGCCTGGCCCCGCAGGCGCCCTTCCCCAGGGCCCTCGAGGAGGTGTTCTTCGCCTACTGCTGGATGGTGGGCAACTTCGCGCAGATCGGCACCACCGGTGCGTACACCGAATGGCCAGAAGGGCCGTTAAGCTAAGAAGCTAAATTGAAAACAATGCAGATAAAACGCGTTGAGTTTTCCATCGGAGCGGCAATCAGCCGTTTAGCTTAATGGTTGAAGCGTATGGGTGGGAAAGCGGAACGCTTCGTGCGTTTTATACAAATTTTAATGTATCACCTTAAGTCAATCAATCGTAAAAATATTCAAATTGGACCCACAGTAAAAGCACATATATACACATATATATCGTTGCCTGCGTGGCGGAGTCTGGTAAAAGCACATTAAATATTTTTAAATTCATTCTTCTCCGATCTAAAATTTTGAAGTATTTTTTTTAAGTAGATACCTACTTAAAAATGTTTAGGCACTAGTGAAGTCTCTATTTTGTTGGTTATAACAAATAAGTTTCCATACGTCGATATATACACACTGATTAGTCTGATTTGTAAATAGAGCCTGGTCGGACCCTTAAAATTGCAATTAACAACTTCATCGATTCACTTTAATTCACAATCAACTTGCTTGAGAATCTTGAATAAAAAGCCGATCATTGATATATTTACTACGAAATATAAACATATTCATAGCGTAATAATTTGAAATGTTCCCATTTTAAATTTGTCACGAACATCATCGGTGCCGTGAATATAGTCCGCGCACGTATTTCACAACGGCGCATAAATTTGTTAAAATTTGTCAAGTATCCATCTCAACTAGCAATTTGTTTCGCAGGGAAACGTATAGTGTTCGCCGGCGACTCGGCTGGCGCTAACCTGATAGCCGGATGCACCCTCAAGATCCTCTCGGCTGGTCTCCGACCCCCCGAGGGTCTATTCATGGCCTACGCCCCGCTATTGGTCAGCTTCATACCCAGCCCCGCCAGACTGCTCTGCCTGATGGATCCTCTCCTACCCTTCGGATTTATGATGCGATGTCTCAAAGGTAAAATTCCTCCCCCTCTGTAGAATTTTAAGTGCGAAAGCACACAGCTTTTGATGTTGTCTAAAAACCTGGCCTATGTATAATATTGAGCGTAAGTGAGCATACAGTTTTTGCTGTTGATTAGAGACCAGCGTGAAATAGAAGCGACTTATGAATTATTAAGGTAAATACTTACTTAATAAAATAATTACTTACTAAATTAATAGAAAAAGTTATCTATGAAAACAGGTACATTGTGAATCATAAATTATAATATCCAATATTGTCACGTGAAAAGATTTTTACAGTATAGTATAAACGCTTGAAAACGATTTCACAGTTCAATCGGTTCCCTGTATCCAATTATTAAAAACTAGTTGAATTTAATTTTTAATATTATTTTAAACTGGTAATAAGTTTAGAACATTGTGGTAGGACCACGCAAGTTAAGTACCACTACCTCACAGAAGACCAGCGTGAAGTGGAACATACTTCTGCCTTTCGTCTGGTAAGTGAGGCTTAACGGCTCACTTTATAAAAGGTGGCAATGCATCTGCAACCCTACGGGTGTTGCAAATGTCCACGGGTTGCGGTTATCACTTAACATCAGGTGAACCGCCAGCTCGTTTGTCACATAAAAAAAAACTGTTAAAAGTCTGAATTAACACACGAGAACACTCAATTACATGAGACAATTGAATTCTTGCAGCGTACGCGAGCCCAAGTTCAACGGGAAAAGGCAAGTCTGACGGTCGCCCTAACAAAGAGCCGACGACGGTCTCAAACGCCACTACTCCGCTAGACAGCAACGGTTTCCTCAAAGTGAGCCCGTCCCAAGGTGATACACACATCATGGAAATAACAACATCTGCTTTTTTGCAAGATGATGCATTAAATTGTGAATTTTTGAAAATAAATGAACGAAAAGTTTCGGCGATGCGGGATTCGAACCTGCGTCTTCCGGTTTCGCGTCCAAACACTGCACCTACTAAGCTAAGCGGCCGATGACCTCACGGCGCGACATCTCTCGTTACAAATGTTCGTCGTTGAATGTTCTTTGTAAGGTGGTGCATGTTGCAAAGGATGCACACTAGATGGCGCCAAGCATTGCTAAAAATGCAATAAAATATTCTGTTAATATCTTTCTACGCTATAGGTCATGTTCATTTACCTACAAAAATTCACAATTTAAAACATTTTTTTACGGCTTCTACCCTCCTTTGGAATAAACACCCACGTCCGAAACAAAGTCAATGGCTGAGTACTGCACCACCGAGTTATACCGATAAGACATATTTATAAGTTTCTGCATCTCCTCTTGACCGCTATTTCTTAACAATGAAATAACAGGAATAATGACACAGCAATGTGGGAGGGAAATCGAAACACCAATCATGGGACGGGGAATTAACATTTAGTAATAACAAATTATTCTATATCTCTCAGGTACGAAATTGTCGTTAGTTAATCTTAAAAGATTTCTAATGATAAGCCGAAAAGTGTGTGATAGTCGGGCTGCCTCTTTGGTGACATTAAGGAGAGGCAATCCGTCATGTTAGATGTTCCCAGAGGGTATGAAAGTAGGAATGCCACTTTGGTGACATTAATGCCCGGTTCCTAAGTTCAAGGAACGGTCGTTAAGATAAAAGGCGTGTACGCCCGGTTCCTATATTAACAAAACGAGACGTTTTCCTTACGAGTTACTTGCGTTTCTTTAATCTACAAGTCGTTATGAAAGTTACGAAGCTATGTAACTAACGCCCGTTCGTTGAATATAGGAACCGGGCATTAGTAATAACAAATTATTCTATATCTCTTAGGTACGAAATTGTCGTTAGTTAATCTTAAAACATTTCTAATGATAAGCCGAAAAGTGTGTGATAGTAGGGCTGCCTCTTCGGTGACATTAAGGAGAGGCAACCCTTCATGTTGTTGACGATATGTTTCCAAAGGGCACGAAAGCAGGGTTGCCACGACATTAATGAGAGACAATCCGTCATGTTAGATCACGATATGTTTCCAGAGGGTAGAAAAGTAGGGCTGCCTCTTCGGTGACATTACGATGTTTCATTATGTTTCCAGAGGGTGGGAGTGAGGGCCCGTCGTCATTCGAGGAGGTGTCCCCATCGGACCTGGCGGAGCTGCAGGCGCACAAGTCCGGCAGCGAGCGGCGCCAGTCATCGGACACAACCATCAGCGCCGCTTCGCTGCAGAGCGAGCACACCGCCACAGGTAACGTACGTTCCGTTACGACGACCCGATGAGCACAGTGGGTGAAGCTGCCTCAGGCCAGGGTGCGGGTTCGATCCCCACCACCGGAAAAAATAATGTGATGAACATAGTGTTTTTCCAGTGTCCGAGTTTATGTGAAATGGTGGCAAGCGAGCTGGCGGTTCACCTGATGTTAAGAGATAAACGCTGCCCAATGACATTTGCAACACCCGTGGGTTGCAGATGCGTTCCCACCTTTTAATAAAGTGGGACCCGGCCACCTCACACACAGACGAAACGCAGAAGTATAACACTTCCACTTCACGCCTACTAGTGTATTTCACGGTACAACTACAACCCTATTGACGACGTCTTGGGCTTTCCTCTATACATAATGTTGGATAAAAATAACATACATTCTGTTTAAACTTATTTGGTACTAGTGAAATGTAGCATCTTCGCATGGGTATGATCTGGTCGCGAAGCAGGAAGAATTTCGTATGTTAACCTGCTATTGCCTGTCTCTTTTGCTCCAGTGCTGAACTTAGAAATGATATAATTTAAATAATGAAACTGTAAATTTTTTTTTTTTATAGATCTGACCCTTATAAATAACGGAGGCATATTTATCTATACGATGTTTTAGTGTGCTAAACAAAATTAATAGGGCCTTTGAGACTTTCCTTCTGGTTATCATTTTTTAAATAATACCTTTATAATTATTTGTACCCCATGAAGGGATTTTACGTGTAAACATACAAACAGAAATTATACGACATAATTATACGTAAAGCAAAAGTATACTTATTCTGGGTGAAAATCGAGCCTAAAACTTGCCGCGTAGTTCATCGTTTTGCAAAAATCGAGGCATAAATGATTAGTTCTAAACTACAATAGATCTTCTAGGTCGCGTTGGTCGTAGGGACTACCCAAACCATTCCACACAAATCATGAACTATTAGAGCTACACATAACGTAAATAAATTTTATAAATAATAAAATTACTAATTTTAAATGATTATAATTTTTATGACATCAAAAAAATTATAATAAGAAGACTTGATACATATATAAATTTTTGGCTCTTTGTTATAAATTGTGACATTTAATTGAGAAATTGATTATAACTGATTTTTTTTAACTTTATACAGCGTGTCGTTACAAACGCGACAGTAAATGAAAACACATAGAGAGGATAACTTTTTAAAATGATATTAAACATTTACATTCTTTTAACATCAATATTTACAGAGTTATAAAATTTTCCAATAGAAACAATTTTAGAACATCCTTACGTATAAAACTTTAACGTAAAGTTCATTTGTAAAGGTCACAAAGCATATGAATGGATTTAATGAATTAATAAGAGATAAAACACAGTGTTAGAAGGAGAGGTTTGTAATGCGACGCTGTGGCAAAGAATGAAAAAATCTCTGAATGTATGAATCAGTCAGTTGTAGTTTTATAGGATGTTACAAATTTTGTTTCTTTTTTATTTAATTAGTTCGAAAAATATTTTTTTTCAATTATGGAATTTTTTTAATGCTTATATTTGTTTATGATTATTGGCAAGTAGCGTTAGGCGTGTGTTCATTTATTGTCGCGGTTGTAACGACACGCTGTATAAATAACTAGCTGACCCGGCAAACGTTGTCTTGCCGTATAAATTCTTTCTAAGGAATTTGTAGGGTAGAAAAAATTTTTTGGGGTGGACCACCTTTAACATTTAGGGGGATGAAAAATAGATGTTGTCCGATTCTCCACCCTGGCCGATATGCACACAAAATCCTACGAAAATCATCCGAGCCGTTTCGAAGGAGTTCAATTACAAACACCATGACACGAGAATTTTATATATTAGATAAAGTAAAGTAACTTTAGTTCATACCATTAATATATTGCTTGTTATTTATGAATTAGCTTATTATGTAGTTCAATATTAATGATTTGTAACACCTCTATACCATGTTAAAAGCAAATAAATGATTATTTTATATTTTCTTAATAATTTTTCAGGTGTAACACCTACAGAAGACAAATCCCAGCAATATGTGTCCGAGTTTCTTGAACGATATGTATTGGACAGCGATACGGACTCCGAAGGGCGACGTTTTCCCATTATCAAACCTAACAAGCAAACAGATTCGACCAGGTATTCTTGTTATTATTACTGACTAGCTTTTGACTACGGTTCATATCTGCTAAATCAACTTAGATGTTAACAGTAAATACAGTGGTCATCAATTTCTGACTGTTTATAATTTTATATTATGGATTTTTCATATTAATTACAAAGTCTACCTTCAACTGGTCAATGTGATCTTAATTTACCAATATAATTTTGTGGCTGGGCCAACAGAACAATGGATCACTATTTTCTAAACTAATAACTATGCCTTATTATATTAATGGTAGCTTTTAATCGATAAACTAATAAATAATTTATATCTACCCGTTATCTTAATAACTACATTTCTGACAATGACATTATCATCATTATTACATACCATCTTTTATTTTGCCCAGGTTAAAGTCCACATATATGTATGTTAAAGCTCACCTCCATACAGCACAAGAATATTTACTGCTGCATAATAAGTTCTTACCATTGTTACAACTTTTTACTACCATTAATCGTATAAAGTCATCTGAATAATAATGGACTCAATGTTGAGAGGTAGTCGCATAAAGAGACTGAAGAATATTAGTGGCCTATGTGATCAGTTAGATTGGTATTTGTTCAACCTTATGACTTTTATAGGTTTGCATGTGACCAAAATCGGTTACTTTGTCTAATTTGCAGGGATTTGGAGTCTGAGGCGTCTAGCACATTGATCGGAGAGCCGCCGTTGGTAGACGAACAGGACACCAAAGATAGCAAAAAAAGAATAAAGACTAGGTAAGATTCATCTAAATCAAATCTCGGTGGAAATGATAAAACAATGAATTAGTTGTTAATTAAAACATTTGTAAAAATAAATAGATTTAAATTTAATTGTAAACAAAAATTAATAGCAGTTAATTTTCCATAATTATCCGTTTTGTTTTAATTTTATTGTTGGATTTAACTTTAAATTGTTGTTATTGATTAAACATTGTGGAAAATATGATATCACTGTTTTCTGCCAAAACAATCGCAGTGGGACTTCCTACTTATCCTATCTCCATTCATATAGAATTATAGAGTGTATCACTCATTTGTGTTATTTGGTTTTCAGGATAAGTGAAGCTGCCACTGGCATAATGGGAGCTATGTCGTCACGATTCGCCTATATTACTGGATCGAATTCAATAAATAGGCCTACACAAGAGGAGTAAGTATGTAATACTAATAAACATTGCAGAATTACTGCCGAACTTAATTATTATAATATTTCTCTGTCTTGCAAAGTTTGCAACTAAATATGCAATGTGGAATTTTACTTATGTCTTAGCTTTTTTTTCTAATGCTGAATTCAAAACTCAAAATTCCTCAAATAATCTATTAAAACTGACTTACTCTTTACTTTGGAAAAACACCTTAATCAATGTCAGTTGAAGTAGTGAGAGAAGAGTGATTAAACATTTAATTCCTAAAAAAATACAGGGCGATTTTTGCATACTTTAAGATGCCCACAAATCCTGATTATGAAATGATTATTTTCAACTTTTCAAAAGCTCTATACATTGAAATTTATTATTTTTTTTTTTTTATTATTTTTCCAATGGTATTAATTCACAAAGCAATATTAAATACACGATTAACGATTAAAAATAAGTTAACCCTTTCTTTATCTCCTCAGATTGGCGGTACGTACGAATTTGGACGCGCTGATCGCCCGCAGCCCCTCCGACGAGTTCATCTTCTCGGTGCCACGAGATCCCCTCCTGTCTCCGTATTGGGCTGACGAGGAACTGCTCAAGAGGTTCCCCCCAGTCAGGATACTAGTAAGCAAATTTAGCTCAGTCTGTGTCATAGTTTTTACCTATATCATTTAACTATATTTTATACCAATTACCTACTAACCTAACCTAACATGTATCGTTGAATTTTGCGTGCTTTGAATAACATCAATATCATGACAACATCAATTTGATGACCCCGTGGCGCAGTTGCCAAGGTATTGGCTTCGGTGGCAGGGGTCATGGGTTCGATTCCCACATGGGACAACTATTTGTGCGACCCGCAGATAGTGGGTGTTTGTCCACGTGAAATGTATGTTTGTAAAACGTCCTAACAACACAGGAAATGTTAATGTTAAGGGCAATGTTTTAAAAACTAGAAGAAACTAGAAGAAAAAGAATCTATATGCTGTTAGAAAAGTAATTAATAGATTAATGTTGGTCCTTTAATTCTTTTCTTCTCTCACTTTAGTTGAAAATTAACTATTATTGTAAAATTAAAGTATGTAGAAAAAGTACGAAAAGATTGTCGCCGTTGTGGGAATCGAACCCACGTCCTCGGTATTCGCGGCCTGACGCTTTAACCACTAAGCTAAACGGCTGATTGCCACCGACGAAAATCTTAACCTCCTTTATCTACATAAACTGTATAATATGTTTTCCTATTAACAATTTAATGTTCTCATCTAGACCGTACACCTAGATCCATGTCTGGACGACTGCGTTATGTTCGCGAAGAAGTTAAAGAAACTTGGCAACGAGGTTGGAATTGATGTGTTGGAAGGTTTGCCGCATGGATTTTTAAATTTCTCCCTGGTAAGTTTTACAATAACTCGCTGCGATGAACGAACAGTAGTCGTTTTAAACTAATTAAAATGTTTGATGCAAAAAGTCGAATGCAAAAAACTAACAAAAGATTGTAATCAGCAATAAGCTTGGAGATTTAAAACGACGTAGATTAAATGTGTCTCTGTGGCGCAGTTGCCAAGGTGTTGATTTCGGCGCCGGGGGTCGTGGGTTCGATCTCAACACGGGACAGCTATTTGAGTTGCCCACAGATAATAGTTTCTTATCCGAGTGTTTGTCCAAGTGAAATTTATGTATGTGAAAAGTCCTCACAGCACAGGTTACTAATAACCTACAAAGAGGGTTTTATCCTACAGTTTATATTTATTTAAAATTATAAATAAAATCTTTGTAATCCGATCTACATATGCAATTAAACTCTGTGAACTTTAAAAATGTCAATATGTTAACAAAGGAAAGTAAAGTAACTGCCTATACATATCCCACTGCTGGGCAAAGGCCTCTTTTACAGAGGGCATCAGGGCATAGTCCACCGCGGCCCCACTGCCGATTGGCGAACTTCACATATCTTCGAAATTTTTTTTTTGTTTTTATACTATAACGTACAGGTTTCCTCACGATGTTTTCCGTCACCGTTGAGCACGTGATAAAATCAGCACTTAAAATTAACAATTTCATTTGTGCTGGCAACGTGGATCGAACTCAGGTTGCTCGAGTATATTGAACTAGCTTTTTGCCCGCGGCTTCGCTCGCGTTGAAGCCCTTAAATAAATATGTTTCCTTAAAAAAATAGCCTACGTCCTTTCTCAGGCTCTAGACTATCTGTGTACAAATTTTCATTTAAATCGGTTCAGTAGTTTTGGCGTGAAAGCGAGACAGACATACAGAGTTAGTTTCGCATTTATAATATTAGTATGGATTAAAGGCGAGCTCCCGGACTATCACGGCTATATATATAATGTACTATATTGTTGTTAATTTTAATGAAAACTCCGATAGATGTGACGTAATAATAATACAATTTCAATCGATTTCCACAGATGGCCAAAGAAGCGCACGAGGGTTCGAAGCTTTGCGTAAAGCGCATTAAACAGCTGCTCGACTTAGAAAACGATGCGTCCTCATCGAATGGGGAGGAACAGTTATGAATATGCGGCCTGTGTTGCCGTTGCCCGTAAGGCTTTAATGTGTGTGCCTGTGCCTAATATCTATAATAAAAATAATGGGCTGTATGGACGCGGTTCCTTTGCCTACAATACTTTCGGAAAAATTTAAAAAACAAAGTAAAATTATCGTCTTTATTGTACCAAAGACAATCGAACTCCTGTATTGTTCTCAAGCAAAATATGTAAAATTAAGCTTGAATATAAGCGAAACTGCTAATCTGTAGTAAGTATTAGTTGTTGTCTAAGATTGGGAAGTCTTTTTATTTTATCTTTCAATAAGCATAACAAATATATGGAACTTAAATATTGCGTAGCAATACATTTAAAGTACAAGTATAAATGAAGGTATAAGAAAACTCTTACCCATGCTCTACTGAAATGATATTCTTGCCATCCACTATATTAATAAAGCTATTTATAATTCAATGAAATCTGTCCAACTCTGCAGAATTTGAAAAATCCATGTAATATGCGTCGATAAGTGTTTTGTAGTTATTTATTGAGTGATTGCTGTTTATTATTGCCAAAATTTTGTCGTGTATTAATTACAGTTTTGTATGTTTTTCTTAATTGTTTTAAATGGTAATGGGCAGGTGGGGGGAAGATTGTTTAATAAAAAACGTTGTACACTTTTACGGGGGGAAGGAAGTGTTTAATAATAAATGCTATTTACTTATACAAATATATAGTTAATTCATAATATTCTAATAAAAATGTGGTGATAACCTAATAAAAACGTGCAAATCTTAAATGCGCCTAAAAATCTAAAATGGGCTACACTTAGCCCCGGAATTCTATGCGCCTACCAAAAATTATCTGAATAGGTCCCCTAAACATTCAAGAAAATATATTATTTAAAAAATAGTAAAAAATAGTTATGTGAAGTGAAAGAAAGTCTGAAAGCTATTTGGGCTTCAGCGCGAAAGAGACGGCAATACCCGTCCCCCATTTAGCAACTACGATGTCTCTAAAGTAGGTATGAGTCGCGCCAAACTTAATAGCAGCTGTGAAGTAAGCGGTAGGGCTCTGTCAGTGTTGCTAGGTCCATTTTTTTAATTCAGAATTTCAATTCAAGGAAAGTCAATGGATTTTAAAGTAAACAAAAAAAAATTATTTATGCTTCCCTTTTCTAGCATGTCGATCAAGCTTCATCATTGTACTTTTATTCATTCCATTACGTAAAAAGCGTTCCTGCGTGTGAATACTCACTTTTTAATTTAGTCGCGTTATAGTAAGCAAAAACCGGTCCCGTTATGGAAATAAAAAAAACCTTTTTACGAAAAGAAAAACATTAATTTTTTTGCACATCACACCGCTCTACGACAAGGCTGAACTCGCAACTTCTTAGCCGCCATTAAGTTTTGCAATATTGTATGCGCATATTTTGAGTTTTGCGCGCTCGATATGTTAAAATCTTTGTAATACCTACTGTATTGATTGTTATTTCAGAGCCAACTTTTTTCTAAAATACTGTGTTTTTATTAATTATTTTATTAATTTTAGAAATTTAGTCTATTATTTTTCGATTAGTTCAATGAAAAACAAAATCTTAACGTCAATTTCATCGCATTATTGCATAATATAGAAACGAATTTATCAAATGCATGGACCAGAATTTGGCAGAAAGTCATTAATTAAGTTTATTGGAAAACGTAGATATCTAACCAGTTAACTAGCGAAATTACGATTTAGGAAATTGAACGTTTTTAGTGCACTTTGCTGCCGTACATTTACATAAACTTTTAGAAACTGTCCTGTAGATTGTGAAACACCAAAATATAAGTAAAATGTTATCCATTTCCTCTCACAAAACTTTTGCTAGATTCATTGTAGTAAAGTAAAGTAATGTAAAGGAAATGACATTTAAAAATTGAACACGACAATATAGTTACATTAAAAAAAATTCACTGAACCCAAGAATTATGGTCATATTTCAAATAATGTAGTATTATTCATCATACGTCAATAGTGTCATAATCCAAAAATCCATTTCGATTTTAGTCGTTAGAACCTCCGAATATGGCTTTCTTCTCAATTGAGAAATACAGGAAACTGTTTTTTTTTTTTAATTTAAGTCAGATTAACTGATAAAAACCTAATCTCATATTTTCTTGTTTATCAAAATTAAATCACTACTATGGTATTGTGAAAAATGTGTTCAAATCGACGTATATAATTATAATGCCAACTTTTTGTATAGAATTTAATTACATTTTACCTACTATGCGTTAATTATGAAAAGTAGAGCTCTTAAGAGGTACTGAATATTAACTTCACTAATATTTTCTACAAATATTTGAGATATTTCTTTGTTCACTATTAAAAATTGCTAATCAGCAATTTCTGATTAAGCTAGGAAGATTTGAAATGGGATAATTTATGCAGTTCTCGAAATGTGAGAATTTTATGTCGTCTCAAAAGTAATTTTAGAATTTATCCACATAAATATTGAAATATTCACAAACTTACTGGTAGTAAAGTGTTTTATTTTTTATAGATTTGTATATAAAGATAACACACTATCTTTATATACAAGAAGAAATAACATTGAGACATACAGACATATCTCTCTATATAGTTATTCCTTTATTCAAACAATCCAAATATTATTTCATTTAACTATTGCCCAAAAATTGTTAGCACCGGATATTACAATATAAATTCGTTACATTAATTCAGTGTAGTTGCTGCAAAACTCGAATAAGATGCTGAAAAACTTGTTTTTAATATTTTATACATTACTAATTTATGTGGAGATAAATGAACTAGTTCTATGCACTATCTTATAATCATTTTGTACGCTGAGAATCTGATAAGCCGTGGAAGCTCGGTGTCCGTATTGTTGCTTTGAAATTCCCTATCTTGGGCAATTGCATGTCAATATACCGATACCGTGGTTATTAAATTTCCTAATGAACAGTTAACATGCCACTTGATCCATAATGAAGGAATCGTAACATCAAAACGGTGAAAAAATGCTAGAAAAGGCTAGCTACGTGTAATGCCTGAAATTACATTTTATTGAATGTTTGTTAATTTTAATGTAACGTTATTTTTGTTTCTTTAAGAATAGGAATTTTCATTACAAACGCATTTGCAATGGCTTTTACTGTGCTATTTTATTTTTGTTTCAATTGTTTATTCATATTTCATACGTATGAATTTTATTCAAACGTATTTAGAACTCATTTATAGTGTATCCAAATCGCCTGAAGATTTTACATTCTTATGAAATTGACTGACAAACACATTTTCCTATTTTTGATAAATTGTTTGAATGCCTTTATTTCTATTGTATGTGCTATTTGTCGCAATTTATTTAATATGTATTGAAATTATTGAATTTGATTTCAAATTTGTTTACCATACCCTATCAGTATTCACGTAAAGTTTTACTTTAAATGAATCACACCCAGAAATATAGCTGCTTCTTGATTAATTAGTTTTTTTTTGTTATTTTTCTAATGCATTATTGAAGCGTCTGTGATAGTTTTAAGCTTTTTAAAAGCTTTACAGTATTCTAAATGCACGAATGTAATGTAACTAAAATGTGTCGTAAATAAAGTTGTTGTTATATTTTTTTTTTGTAAATTATAAAATGAAATGAAAATATTTACTAATATTTTTATAGACTAGAACCTTAAATACATAAATGTACGTCGGTCGTATGGTCAAAACATTATAATATATACATATTATATCTATTATAAATTCTGAAATGTATTAATTGTTTATTTAAATGGGATGCGATCCATATTGCGAAAAATTCAAAGCCAGTGGAACATTGATAGTATAGGGATATACTTATTATGATAATCCACAGTAGGGCATCACTAGTCATCAATGATGTTTTATGTTCTCATAATAAAATGTATTATATAAAAGTTGTATATTATTTAAATACCAATGTTTGTTATTACTTTAGTAATAAAATGTATTTATTAACGCAACCGCAGAAATATCCCATTTTTTATGTGACAAGGTGTAGAACGAACTGGCGGTTAACCAGGTGTTAATTGATAAGGCCGCTCTTGGACATTCCCAACTCCCTTACGGATGTAGATGCCTTGCCGCCTTTTATTAAGTGGGTTCAGACTACCTCTCACCAGACGAAACGCGAAAGTAAGTTTTCTATAAGGTACTTCCTCTACGGACCTGCCCATTCCTTCTACAGCAAACACTTGCGTGGACCTTTCAACAGTTATCATGTGATTGATACCATCATATTCGTTTAAAAATTCTCGTTAACACTTCTGCAGTTGATTTAGTACTATCTAATATCTATATAGTCGATCCAGAGTACATACCTACGTCAGCACTTAAATGAAACAGATAAACAGAAATTGCCAATAGGATTAACACAAACGGCGTCAGATCTGTGCATTTTTCGGCAGTCACGAAAAAAATAACAAACTAATGTGTTATCCATGTTTATTGTTCTAATTTCTAACAGTTGCAAGGAAACATGATAATCAACAAATTATAGGTTAAAAGGTTAAAGATTGAAAAATTGACTTTTTGGTAACAATCTTCACTGTGTTCATAAAAAACGCACGAAGCAGATTTTTTTTCGATATTTAACAAGAACGTAAATTTAAATATGTATATAACTTTCTGTTCACTCATTCATAATAAAAAAAAAAAATCTATATATAAACTCGGCTTTCAGATGACAAGGAGTTAGTGAACATGGACAAATAAAACAAAGCCATTGATGTAACAAATCTGCAAAGACTAACCATGTAAAAAACATCAATTGAATGTTAAGTGATAATTTTTAAAATAATTAGACTCCAAAGTTTACTAAAACATTCACATGAACTTATAGTAATGATATTAAAACTTTAATTTAATTTTACAAGTATTATAAACATAAATTTATATGCAATGAATAAAGTAGTTAAAAGAATGCCTAGAGCTAAAGTTTTAGTTACTTTACATTTATCCAAACCTCAAAAATCTTACAAATTACACATTCTTAAAATCCAAGATAGTAAGCCATAGTCCCATTTTACTGAAAGTATGCATTGTATCATCAGTCAACATCTAGTGATCACTTTACAATGAATTTGTACAACACAAAGTCTCTGAAATTTGAAGTTTCAGTTTATGAACTATTTTTAATGGCATCATATGTCCACAACCACAACCTTTGATTAACCTGCTCTTTACAAATGTTACTTAATATTCATTCAGGAGAGAAAAACTTTGACTTGAATAGAATCAGTTTATATGTTATTATCGATCACTTTTTCACATTGAAATCTGGGATAAGGTTTTAGCGTTTGTTGATAGGATATAGTTTGAGTGTTCAATCATGTCCATTTGTTTTTGCATGTGGCACGGAACCGTTAAGCAATGGTACATTAGCTTGTGGTTCTCTGATAGTCTTCTGTAGCACATGAGCATCTGCTGGTTCTATTCTCTTATAATAATGTTCTTTTGTTTCCACAATTTCAAAGCCAAACTTTTTATAAAAATCAATAGCGCCTTCATTGTTTACTTGCACATGCCTGCAACACAAATTTTATTTAAATTTGTTAAGATATACAGATATCTGTTGTTCTAAAATTATTAAAACTTTCCTGAGACATTACCAGTGTATATCCCGACTAGTTTCAGCTCTATCGAATTATCCCACACACCCTAATGAAGGAGTTCCAATGAGTACAAAACTAGTTGGTACATACTCCATTTTAACATGAGTTTAGCTATCACATTTGTGGTTATGCAGAATCAATAGGTAGTAATGAAAATTAGTTACAAAATTGCTTTATCGTTTTTCAATACCATAATATAACTCATATACGACAAACAAATTTGAACTCAGGTTAAGTGAAATAACGAATAAAGATGTCAAACATGTCCAAACATCTAGTTTAAAATGGAATGAAACCATGGCAAAATCCCATAAATTTACTCTGATAAAGCTGTACAGTAGCAGTGGACTGCATGACTCTCCTCATCTGAAGTAGTACTGCGGCCTCAGACCATCAGAAGTCCAACATGAAATGAAAGTATCAAACTTTCACATGTCATCTGGTGAATGAGCTTACCGAGGCCCACATTTTTTTGGCAACACATATTCTAGTTTTGCTAAATGTGCCATAGGTGGCGATAATCAGTTAACATCATGTTAAAAGCCTGCTGCATTGCCATCTATAGCATAAAAAATATGATGGATGTGAACTATTCATAAAAAAAATTTGCCATAATAAACTAAATTAAAACATTTTATTTAATCAATAAATATAGACATATTTTTTATTTAATTGTTAAAGTAAAAAAAAACCGGCCAAGTGTGAGTTGGACTCGCACACAAAGAGACAGAATACCATCTATAAAAATGGCAAAACATCATGTCTGTTGTATGGGAGCCCCACTTAATTCTTTTTATATTCTTTTTAATATTTGTTGTTATAGCGGCAACATTAATTCATCATCTGTGAGAATTTCAACTGTCTACCTATCACGGTTCATGAATAGACAGCAGATTCTTAGTAATGGGATCCCGTTTTACCCTTTGGGTACAGAACCATAAAAAAAACATGTATAATATGTATATATTGGTGTAGCAAATCCTGTAGTTTTTTTTTGTGAAAAGTTGTCAAGCATGCAAAGTAGATATAATGGACAGTGACCATGGATATCTACAGCACCTAAGAGACTTGCAGATGCATTGACAACCTATAAATGAGTGGGCCCCCATTAACCTACTCACAAAACAAAATGTGAAAATATTATAACTTGCACTTCACACCAGTTTTCTGTTTTTCTATAGTTTTGTTTTTGTTTTGTTATAAAATCCTTTTTAAATTAATCATTGTTTAGACCATTAAAATGGAGCAATTAAAAAGTCAAATCAAACCATTTCCTATTTTTTGAAGTTTGAAATTGTATGATATTATAAATAATGTATAGGTTAGTTTATTGTACTGCATGAAATTTATGTTCCTGAGTTTTCACCAGTTTCAACCACAGCTTAGCAATGAAGCACAGGAGACAAGATAATGCTTATTAATAAAAACTTACAAGAAAATGCTGTCGAAATTGCCATCTTGTTCAACATATTTGAGCACATGTTCCACCATCAAAGTACCAATACCCAGTCTTCTATAGGGATATAAGCAACCCAGGGTCATTATATATAGTCTCCGAGAATTCTCCGACGTGTCTATCCTGCAGCATACTGCTCCCACCACGATATCATTGTAATAAGCTAACTTTGCTAGTTCTCCTGCCTCCAAAACATCTTTGTAGAATTTGTCGTTGTAGGACACTGGAAATACGACTGTGTTTAACTTCTTCAGCTGCTTTATATTATGCGGTGTCACATCGCCGAGTTCTATTTTAGCTCTGGAAAATCAAAGATGTTCATTTATGAAATTCGACTAATGTCGATATTGTGTCCTCGTCTAACCGCGGCTTTGTCCTGTCAGTGCCCACGATTTGTAAGTATATTTAAAAAAGTACTGTTATCAATCCATACTTTACCTAGTCATTTTAATAACTATTTTACACTAAAAATTTAAAAACTAAGCTAACACAGTTATATCACACGAGATCACTCCCGCCATCTACCACATTAGCTAACTCGCTCGCTCCTTAGTGCCATGAAGGAATCTAGGATTTCTGATTTACGTTTCTGACAATTGGAAAAGAGTGTTTTTATTCTCTCACCAATATCACTGAAGTTACAGATTACTAAAATCTTTGATTTTAATATGACACACAGATTGCTAATTTCGTAAATAAACATAAACTTTGAAATAACTAGTCATCTTTTATTTGAACTTACCACTTATTAAACACTAACGCCCGGTTTCTGAAACTCTGATCATCATAGAAGTTAAGTTCAGCTGACAAATGGCTTTTCAAATTTGAGTAGCCAAAAGTATGGTTAAACTCTTGAGTTGATCATTCTGTTCATTAAAAAGATCAATCTGATGTTTAAGGGAAACTTAAATCGGTATCGGAATCGGAATTAAACCGTTATCAATTGCATTCAATGTCTTTTTCACTTTACTGGCACAACGGATAAAATTTTTGGTATTTTTCTTTTGTAACGCTAAAGAAGTCTAGCTTCTTACGTGTGTACATGAGAACACGTACTTCTTTATTTACATACCTATCTTCAAGTTTAAATTTAAATATAATAATTTTAGTATGGCAGATAGCATTTTCTTCGATGGTTGTCTTTTGTTTGATATTTAGAGAGAGTTTTTATGAAAAATAAAGTTTTGTTCTTTTGTTAAACACATTGTGACAAATTCATGAGAAATTTCAAAATATATGCCAATTTATCGATAACAGTAATAATTGTTATAATGTTAGGAACAATAAAATACAGTAAAAACTACCTTCTTAAAAATCTATGTAATCAAAAACGGTTATTAACACATACAAATTTACAATTTCAGACAATTAAGTCCATAGAAATTGCAAATATTCCTAATAAAGTTGGCGTAACTCCAAACAATGACGAAATAATAAGCGATGTATTTCCTACACAAAGAATAGTTCCTGTGATATTGAATAACAAGGATCGCGTTGTTTTATCGTTTGATGAAGTTCCTGGACCCAAGTTTTTAAAATATTTGGCAAATTTCAGCCAATATTTTTCAGACATCGGAACCCAGATTACTGCTGGTGTTCTTTCGTTAGGACTAAGTGCAGGTAAACCTCTGTAACATACCATAAATTGATTGCTAGATTTAGTGTACTAGAGCTAGTAATAATTATATTACCATTAGGTAATTACAAATAATTAGATAATTATATGTTAACCTAACTCAGATTACTGATGAGCGCTGGCGTTTTATAAAATTGTCTTGTTTCTATGGAGCCATTAAAAAAACCAAAATCTTAAAAATAATGAGAATTAATATTTTTTATAGTCAATTTTTGGGAAGTTAATATTCTTGTGTATAATAAATAGCTACAGCCTAAACATGCCCCATTATAGGCTAAATTAAATCTGAACAGAGATGATTAATTAATATTGCCGCAAGGCCTTAAGCTAACAAGGGCTAGGATCTTGGTCTATACATTTTTTTGGAATATTTTTTGCCATGTTTGCTTGTAGTGGAGCACGTGTTGAATACAAATAAGCTCTCAATAAAGATATAAAGCTAATTGTAGAAAAAAATGTATACCGTGTTTCGTTACAACCGCGACAATAAATGAACACACAAATAGAGGATAACTTTTTAAAATTGTATTGAATATTTACATTCTTTAAACAACAATATTTACCGAGTTATTAAATTTTCCAAAACAAACAATTTTAGAACACCCTTACGTATAAAACTGTAACGAGTTCATTTTTAAAGATCACAAAGCATATGAATCGGTTGAATGAATTTAAAAGCGACAAAACATACTGTTAGAAGGAGAGGCTTGTAATGCGACGCTGTGGCAACAAATGAAAAAGTCTCCAAATGTATGAATCAGTCAGTTGTAGTTGTCCTGTACAACTACAACTGACTGTTACAAATTTTGTTTCTTTTTTACTTAATTAGTTTGTTTGATAAATATTTATTTTAATTATGACTTTTTTAACGTATATTTTTTTATGATTATTGGTAAGTAGCGTTAGACGTGTGCTCATTTATTGTTGCGGTTGTAACAACACGCTGTATAATATTATTGATTTGTTTATATTCCTTTTCTTTGTTTACAAACTTCTTAGCTCAGAACAGTTATTTAATTATAAAGGGCTATTACATTTAAGGCACGTATGTCTACGGGAAGAAGCCAGCGAGGACTTTTTCCATGCTTTTTGATGAATACGGTCCTGTTGTTCGCTTTGTAAGCCCGGTGGGAAGAGACGTTGTCATTATTAACCGTCCCGACCACATTCAAAAAGTGTATACTGCTGAAGGCGATCAACCGGTAAGGTCTGCTTTGGATTGCTTGGAGAAGTATAGGACGGAACATAGAAGCCATGCTTATGGAGGGATTTACGCCATGTGAGTATAAATATGATAATGAATAATTGATGTAGAAATGTGTAGATGAACACCAGGAACTTTTGCTCAACGGGTCAGCAATATATATTTTTTCCCTTTAGACAATCCACTATTCTATTTGGATATATGGATTTAAGAACTTTTTAAACGTGTCGTCACAGTGTAAAGTATTCGTGCGGTTTTAAGACTTTACTTGCTTGGGACTTTGGATTTTGGTAGTTTTTTTATTAGATGTATTCTGCAATCATATGTACATTTAAGTTGAAATTGTTAATTTCATTTATTTTTGTGCGCTCAATAAACACAGAATTATATTTAGACAATGTTTTTTTTATTTAAAAAGGTTGCGAACGAGTCGGTGGTTCACATGATTTAAAGTGATTAACGCGACCATGGACATCTGCACCACCTCACGGATGCAGATGCGTTTTCAATACTGCGCTCGAGTAACGTCACACACCAGAATAAATGTGGAGGAATAATATTCCACTTTACTTCCTATTACTTCCCCGAGCCCGCCCATTCGTGCAAAAGCCGAAGCTGCTGAGTGGTCCTAACGTCGATGCCTGGTTGGCGCAATTACTAAGCTGTTAGCTACGGCTTCGTGGTATTGTGCGTTTAGTTTCAACAAGGGAGCGTGCAGCATTAGTGTGACAGAGATTATTTTTTTTCTAGAACAGAGTATTTGTCTATGTAAAACTTGGGTATTTAAAATGTCACCGTATAATGTTAAAACATAAAGATATTTATTTCTTATTTTCATGATGTAATTATTACCGTATTATCTACTTTTATAAAAACACAATGCCTCAGTTGTTATGTCACAATACTTATCAATTTAAGGGCATATTGCCGAAGGTCTTACAATACGGTATTTTCAATGAAACTAATTAATAATTCCCTACATGCTGCAAAGTAGGCAGTGACACTAATTTTACGAAATCAACTTGCGTATGAAATAAACTGACCTAAAAATTTATAATTAATCCCTTATTTCCTATAATTTTTCTAATGCCTTACCATGACGGTGAGCGAAGAATGATGTTGTATTATTCACTTCTACAATTTCATTATTATCAGTCACGGACCAGAGTGGGTACGCCGCAGGACAATGTTGGACGTCCCCCTACATAGTGCAATCGCTAAACACGTGCAAGGCATCTGCGAATCTTGCGACACGTTTACACAAAAAGTGTACAACATGAGGAACCATCAGGATGAAGTAACCAAGGACTTGGAGAAGGAGTTGAATAAATGGGCATTCGATTGTATGGGTGAGGAAGTAGGATACTTGGCGTACTTTTATAACTTTCAGGCTCTCTCTTGTTCTTTATTGTTTCATGTGGTTGACATGTTGGTACGATAATGATAATACCCTTCACTCAGACTTTATGCTTGTCTATTTTTTATATTCAGTTTTAAAAAATTGTGCGTCTAGTTTATGATTTGATGTAGAAGTAACAAAAGAGGCATGCAAAGATGGTGGAAAGTGGATATCCGTAATATGCAAGCTCAGCTCTGGGCGACTGACGTAAATTTTAATTATTTATCATAAACAGCTTTAATTAAATTAATTTGTTTTACGTTTTCAAATCGCAACATATAATTTGCATTGACTGGGTGGATATTTAATACACGAAACACTACAACTGCCGGCTAATCACGTGCTCAGCGGTAAAGGAATACTCTCGTGAGGAAACCTGCACATTTCGAAATAATTACAAAAAAAAAGTATTCCAAAGATATGTGAAGTCCGCCGAACCGCACTGGGGTCGCGTGGTGGACTACTCCCTAACATCGTCTGTACAGAGGAGGCCTTTGCCCAGCTGTGGGACATAAAATTATAGGCTTTATTAACTGCCCTGTTCTGTTACTTTGCTGTTTAATTTACCTGCGTTGTTGTGCTATGCTGTTACTTTACCTTACTGGCTGCCGGCTTCAATCAGGTACCTAAACTAAGCAGTAAACTAACTCTTGTTCGCAGGCCTGATAATATTCTCGAAGAAGTTCGCGATGCTCGACACTGAGCTGATCTACAGCCAGTGCGACATGTCGTGGCTGTACCACAGTCTAGTTAAGGCGAGCGAGGCGGTGGCGCGCTGTGAGTCGGGCGTGCGCATGTGGAAGTATTTCACGACGCCCGCCTGGTACTCGCTGGTCAAATACTGCGACAACCTGGATAAGTGAGTTCAACAAGTATATATCTATAATACAAATGGTAGGGTCACCCGACAGTCTTTTCGCTGTTGCACGATTAAGTAAGTATCGACAAGTGTAAAAATCATGTATAAGACAACCACGTCTAGCACGTCGGGCAGTACCACGGCCTAACAGAATATCGCCGCGTAAGTGTTATACTTATTACTTGTACTTTTCGTCTGGTGCGTGAGAAAATGGGGGCCCACTTTATTAAAAGGCGAACTCATCTGCAACCCTACAATGCAAATGTCCATGGGTGGCGGTCATCACGTGAACCGCCAGCACATGTGCCCTCTTTTTACATAAAAACGACGGTACTGTAAAGGGCGCTTGGCTGTTAAATCGCTCGTAAAATAGCTTTTCTTTTACTATTTTATTTTATATATTTTCAGAAAACTTAGAGCTATAACAATTATTGTTTGATTGGCCATAATTTTGTTAAATTTTTGGCCAATTAAAAGGTTTCACAATTAGAAAATTTGGATATAGCATAGCATTTCAAGTTTATTGTTAATCTAGTAATGTATAAATTTTTCGGCAGCTTGATCGGCAAGCACGTTCTCGAAGTGGAACAGAGCATAGCGATGTGCACCGAGAAGGATAAAGTAAAAGGTAGGCTTCTTTTCATTATAACGCACACCCTGGCAACATGGGTTATAATGGCGTATTGTTTTTAGACGTGAACCCCTTGATTGGTGCTATGTTGCTCGGGGAAGATTGTATGAGCGTTGAGGACATCGCAACACTTCTCATGGACATGCTTCTCATAGGCGTGAACACGGTAAGGAAAGCTGCACTTTTATTAATTGAAATTCAATGCATACTTCGTTAGTCGAACGATTTTAGTTTTTTTACGAGTGATCGCATCGGTTTCGGGTGGTACTACTACTAAGGCAACGTTGACTTTCGTTGTTATTGCAAGCAACTACGTTTCGGAACTGATAAAAAAGAATATCTTAATTCTATGTTAGTGAGCTCGGTGATTGCTACTCAAATCTATACACGGCTGTAGACGAACTTCACTCGAAAAATCTCATGAATACCGTTGTGTAAAAGGGCCAGAACTTTTTGTTGTAAAACTATATAAACCTAAGGGATGTCCCAAACTTGAATGCGATGGCTTTGCACACGATTATTGAGAAACCACAATGTTTAAAACAAATTTTACTGTGATAGATTCAACAAAGATAAGTTTTTATCTTTAAAAAAGAATGGTACTCCACACCTATAAGACTTCGGTGGTGTGCGTATTTCCTTTTATAGCGGTAAACGCCAAGCAACGGGTTAGCCGCTTGATCGTTATTCGTTTGTAACGGTTGGAACCAAAGAACACTAATACTCAGTTTGTTTTTTTTTTTTTTTGGTTTGGTTGGAACTAATAAAAGGTATCAAATATGCATAGGCTAACCGAAAACTAGTGCCAAGTAATAATTAATTAACCTTAATTAGAAAAATTCAAACATTTTACTTACGTTACTCTGTCTCCATAGATTACTTCGACAGTATCGTTTTTATTGTACTTCATCGCAAAACAAAGTAGAGTACAGCGTTTGCTCTACCAAGAAATCGAGAACATTACCCCCGAGATTAATCTGGATAAAGTTAACAATCTCAAGGATAAAACACCATATCTACAAGCGTGTCTCAAGGAAACCCTAAGGTAAAAAGTACCAACTTAGTTGCTTGTCGATCATAAATGTAATTATTTATATTTTCTTTGTTTCCCCCAGGTTAGCACCTCCGATACCTCTGCTGACCAGGATTCTCCCAAAGAATATAGTTCTGGATAGTTATAAGTAAGTGGACACGCACTATGCACTATTTAAAATCCCACATCACCAGTCATGATATGTACCTTCGCACATTGGAGGTACATGATTAACCCAACATACCGATTTTTACAGAGATTTACCTGCCTTTCATGCGTTTCCATCCATTCCATCTTAGCACCTTGAAAAAGTAAAATTGCATTGAATGATACCCGCAGCATACCTCGGGGCACCTTTATTATGAAGTCGATGTTGCCCTTAAGGACTCTGTACCTAACCACAGAGATTTCTCTATCCGTCGTACGTTTGTCCCATCTTCGCTTATTGTGGATGTGAGATAAAATTGCATTGAATGATTCCCGCAGCATACCTCGGGGCACCTATATTGTGAAGTCGATTTTGCGCTTAAGGACTCTACCTAACCACAGAGATTTCCCTATCCGTCGTGCGTTTCTCCCATCTTCGCTAATTGTAGATGTGAGGTAAAATTGCATTGAATGATTCCCGCAGCATACCTCGGTGCACCTTTATTATGAAGTCGATGTTGCGCTTAAGGACTCTACCTAACCACAGAGATTTCCCTGTCCATCGTGCGTTTATCTCAGCTTCGCTCATTGTAGATGTGAGATTTAATTGTTTTATTGACTGATTCCCGCAGCATACCTCGGGGCACCTTGATTATGATGTCGATCCAAGATGCAGCGCTAAAGGAGTCTAACTTCGACGACGCCGCCAAGTTCTATCCAGAGCGATGGCTTAGTGGCGACTCGAACGTCCGTCACGAATTTGCATCGATCTCTTTCGGTTACGGTGCGAGAAAATGTCTGGGTCAAAACGTAGCCGAAATAATGACAACACTCCTAACTATTAAGGTAATAAACGGATGTAATGCCAGCAAACTATCATCTATCTAATCATCTCAATTTCTTATTTTTGCTTCTTGACAAAGTTTCACTGCGGTCAATCGGTTTTAACTGCGAGTAAATCCAATAGGTTGTAATTACCTCCAAAGGAGATGTATAAGAATTGTAAATGTAAATACGCTGGTATGTTTGAGGCTCAATAATTAGTCCGATTGAAAAATTTATAATAATCTGCTGTAAAGGATCCACATTATATTACGACAAGCATTACAAAAAATGTAATAAAAACAGATTATTTAGCTAAGGTTTCAAGATTTTCGCGCAGTGGGGTTATCGACCACAGCGAGATAATTTATTGGTGAGTGTTTGGGATTAGTCTGGAAGGCGCAGGTTTGAATCCTGGCAACGTAAGTTATTTTAAGCAATCAGGACAGGAAGTAAAAAGCAGGCATTTTATACTCTTGAGAAAAATATTTTTCAAGATGTAATACAAGCATTTTAAATATTATTAATACAAGCATTATACAGAGTAATTTCAAACTCTATATAATTATAAACATCTTCAATGTCCATCACTACTAGTTATGTCGAGAAAAGAGCTAAGTGGCGTCCTGCGTTGGCTCTTTTCTGAACAAAAAAAGCCTATTTTTTGAAAAATACTTTTATTTAACAATGTACCTAATCACTTTTTTTTTAACTGATGTTTGTGCTTTCAGTCCCGAGACTATTAAAGCTTCATCTGACGCAGAACCGGTGGGCTAGCCAGAACCCACGGGTTTGGGCCCTCCGCTGTGGGTAGGGCCGCGCATGACTTGTCATCTAAAGGCCATCGAAGTTGCGGTGCGGACCGAGACCACGATGGCCGTCGACTGTGATTTTACCTAATCGGTGGCTGGGGGTGGTGAGACACGTGTACACGTTGTGTTGGTCTCGCCGTGCTCGGAGGCTAGGGCGAACTAATGTGTTTGTTGGTACACTAACTGTGTGTAGTGTTATCCGGTGGGATCCCCGACGGTGGGTCCGACGTACCTAAGTCCCCTTTCTCGACCGGGTCGATGAGGACATTTCGCGGGCGACGCTTGTTGACGTTCGCTTTTGTATCGGGTTTGTAATTTGCTGCGCTTACCACCAGAGGGTTGGGATGCTGTTCGGCTCTATCGAAGAACTGTTTGGTCAGGTCTTTGAAAAATTCGCGAATCGTCGGGAGTCTGCAATCGCTGTGCAGGTCGACGTTGCGTTGATACCACTGCGCACCGGTTGCGCGGCAGATGAACTTATTTTGCACCACTTGCAATTTGTGCAAGCGAGTAGGGTGCGTGTGGGCGAAAATCATGCATGCGTAGGACATGATTGGCCGTACGCAAGCTTTGTATAAAAGTAATTTGTGTTTTAAGGACATTTTACTTGACTGGTTAGTTAAAGTGCTTAGCCGGTCGGAGACGAACGCGGCTTTGTTACGGACGTTATTAATATACGTTGTGAATAACAGACGCGAGTCGAAAGTGACTCCTAAATATTTTACCTTTTTCTCCCAGGGGAGCAGTTGGCCATAAAGAAATATTTGCCCTAGCTTTCTGCAACCTAATTCACTCTCCTTTGCGAATGGAAGAAAAACCAAACCCAGTTTCTTCAAATGCTCTTATCCACTACAATAATCTTATTATTATTTATATAAAAATGAATCCCTATTTCCCTTGGTCACGCCATCACGCGTGACTGGACCGATTTCGCTAATTCTTTTTTTATAATACTCCTTGAATTAGGAAGATGGTTCTTACGCACAGAAAAATTTTAAAAAAAGCCTGAAAAAGTCTAAAACCAACACTATTATATTCCCGTACAAAACTGTTCTAATAAATTATTGATAAGTTATTAATTAGATTAAATATGTGCCATAATTATAGCATAATACATTACACCCGTGCGAAGCCGGGGAGGGTCGCTAGTTGTAGATAAAACCCTTTTCCACAATAGATAAATATAAGAATGTATTTATATAAGAATATTTTTTTTTTACTTTGGTAGAGCCACGCCAGTGTTCACTGTTGCACGAATGGGCAGGTCCGTCCAGGTTAGTACCACGACCTCACAGAAGACCGGCGTTAAGTAGAAGTGTTACACTTCTGCGTTTCTTCTGGTGGGTGGGGTAGCCGGGGGCTATTTAAGTGACTTATGTGTGATTTATGCAAGACCAGAGTGAAGAAAGTACTATACTTTCTCATTTCGTCTAGTGAGTGGGATAACCAGAGCCTACTTTTTAATGACTGGCAATGCATCTGCAATCTGTCTGGTGTGTTGTAGACGTCCATGGGCCGCGGGAATCACTGCATCGGGTGAACTGCCTCCTTGCTTGACAACTTTTCAAATAGAACAAATAACAATACAACAAAAAGGTTCTCTCGCTTTGCTTTATTAATTTGCCTTTTTAATAGCCGTCATAATAAAGAATAAAATTAACCATTAGTAAATGGTACAAAAGCTTAAACAGTATACAAATATTATAGTAAAAACAATCAAAATGGGAAGTAAAAACAATACAATGGCAATTTTTCCTTATAGCATACTACAAATACACATTATAAATGAAACTATTTTTCGGATTTATCGCGTCTATTTTTATTCCCCGAGGTTTCAAACCCTTTACAGCATCCATGGTCCTGAGAGTCTGGCCCGTGACCATGAATTAAAATTAAATGTAAGAAATCCATAAAAATATTTTCACACTTTTTTTGTTTCCTATTTTCAAAAACATGAACTGGTTTGTTAAGGTCTAACCCTATAATTGTTTCAAATGAGGGTGTTTTGATTAATATACTCTGCTTCAACCCAAAATAGGAAATATGAAAACAAAGTTCGAGGTTACACATAGCATGCATTTTAACATTTTTGATTGTTATATTCTGGTTTTATACTTTCTGAAATAAACTTAGCATCATCATTCTGTTGGATAATAAATGTATAACAATTGATCACAACATATTTTTATTTACATTGTAACTGCTCTTTATAAATCTATTTAATTTTTAATGGAACAAGTTATTTATGTATGAAGTTAACATTCGCAACTAAATATAAGGCCATTGAGTTTTAGTATCCTTTTTTTAAAAACAATGACTAGAATATTTTATGATAAGTAACAAGAATAAAAATCATTATGTTATCAGTAGATTTAAACAAAGAAGTCATTTTTAATTATGTTAAAATCATACAATGTTTAATAGTATAGATGACACATATCCATACTGAACATTTAAAATTGTTCCACTTTACATTATGACATGTAAGTGAATGTGACAGTTGATAAAGAACATATTATGATACAGAAAGATATAGCAGTATATAGAATTGCAATCATTACACCAATTAGTGTAATTTGTGTGCCTCATATTAGTGCACTAGTGTCATATCTGCCTCATTTGTTTATAATATCATTAAAACCATATGAAAACATGCTCAACCAGTTTTTTGTTACAAAATAGATACATATACATAAGTAATAATCCTTAACCCACATTCCATTTATATTATAATAACTTTTTGTTTCAAGAATGCCAAGCTACCTTTGCCTTCTAGATGAGAATATATTTAAATATTTCCCTCGGGTCATTTCCTTTGCCTCTTCTAGCCCAAGTTGATAAGCAAGATCATGAAGTCTTTTAACTTCCATTATTAGACCACTAGTGGACAGGGATCCAAGTTCTGAAATATTAAAATTGTATCTTAATTATAAATCATTTAATTGGGGACCATGGATGATTACAAAGTATTTTAAAAGTTATGGAATCACGTCAGAACGAAAATTAAATGTGATAGGGCCACGCAACAGTGTTCACCGTTGCACCAATGGGCAGGTCCGTCCAGGTAAGTACCACAACCTCATAAAGTAGAAGTGTTACACTTCTGCATCTGGTGAGTGAGGTAGCTGGGGCCCACTTTATTTATGTGGCAACGAATTTAAAACCCTACGTGTGTTGCAAATGTCCATGGGCGGCGGTTATCACTTAACGTCAGGTGAACGGCGAGCTCATTTGCCACTTTTTCACATAAAAAAAAATTAAACATTTTTGAGAATCAGTATATGGAAATATATCTAAAAAACAAGCTTACAATTTGAATGAATGATCAATGTATTCTGATAGCAATTGCGAAGATAAATCAATAACAAGACTGATCAAATTATAAAGTACATGGTAGAGAGCAATGAAATATATGACTCCCCTTTCAAATTGATTGTAACGATGTAAACATTTTCAATAGATTTCAAAACATTGTAAGAAAAGGTCACTTTTCCGCGAAAACTTACGTTGCATGTAGCTATAATCTTCTTTGGTAAGTCCTTTCCATGACGGCGGAGATTGATTTGCGTTCTGAAGATTGGCAAATTCAGAGACACCAGGAACTGCAAATGAGTCATTAGAGCGCTGTGAACTCTCGTTTGAACTGGAAAGATTATTATTGCCGTCGCCCATTTTGAATAAAATGTTTAAAATACAGTCGTTATAACTGAAATGCCAAACGGAATACATGGACTGTAATGGTGGACGGGATGACAACATTATAAATGAAACGTAAATCGCGGGGATTTTTGAAAATTTATCACCTGGGAAGGTAAACAAAGGCTAAAACTTCAACTTTAACAGAGATATACTTACTTTGTTCTGGCCACAATTCTGGTGATGCTCGGTCAAGCTTTTCCAGACTCAGCAAACTTTCTTCCAAGGATGTCAAGGGAATATCTTCAGATGTTGCTTGCCCTAAAACAATAACACAGGATTCTGAGGAATATTTATTATATACACGGGAATGGCCCCAATAATATACTCGAACCGGTTGATATATAAACGTATTTTAATTGAGTCTTTATTACTGCAATGAAAACATAACAAAACATTAATTTACCATCGCTAGCAATAGAATTTTGTTTCGCGGCCATTTTCCAATTATGTCAAAGACAAAGACAAATGCGAGTACGCTGTGTCCATAAACTATAAAAATACGACAATAGACAAAACAAATCACAAATCCTTCGACTAACGAGTACATAATCATACAATAAAAGAAATAGAACGACGAAATACCTAGTTTGTTATTTATTTTAAAATAAATTATATTAAATGTCTACTAGCAAGTTAGCCACAAGTGGCAAGTCTAATTACCCAACTGTGCTAGATGAGGAAGTAAAAAGTAGATCCATGGCTCTACCAAACGAATCACCCCTGGAGCAATAGATAAAGCTACCTCCCTAATTAAAACCGTGAAAAACACTTAGCGCCCAGCTCATAATTAGCTCATTCATATCTAATACGCACACAAGTTCGTTTCAAAACTATATGACGTATTTATGAATGACTACTGCATCGTCAACAAGTTCTGTTTTTTTATGGAATAGAATAGCAATTTTTAAATTAAAAAAAAGTTTGTATTTGTTTGTATTTATATAAAAGATGATCTCTGAACCTATTGAGTGAATTTGGGCACCTTTAGAAAAGCCACCCTGTATATAACCTACTTTTTGGCATTTAATTCTTCTCAGGTACATAAAAAAAGCGCCTATTATCGGCACTCCTAAGCCGAATATGCCCAGAGACTTACCACCGAATTACTGGCCAATCAGTTTGCTCGCCACAATGGATAAAAGCTACAAATTTTTCAGGACACATTTAATAACGTTTTATAGTCCAAATAAAGTAACGCTTGTGGGTATTAGAAAACCGATAAACTTAAACATACTTTTCCATTGTGGATAAATACATGTCATAAATATGTAAGCACTTATGTATACACTGAAAAACACTATGATTATCACGCAATATTTTTCCAGTAGTGGGGATTGAACCCAAACCCTCTGGCGCAAGAGTCAACCGGGTCAACCATGAACTAAATATCCTAAAAAGAATTAAAAACTATGTTTAATCATTTATTCCTGACAAGCAATTCGCCTTTATAGCCGGTCACGAGAGCATTCTTTAAATGCCGCACCTCTCGTCACTCTTTCATCGTCACCCTGCCAATGACCAGAAGGATAGTAGCATTGTGTAGAACACTTTTTTTGAAGCCGCGAAGGTGTTCGACAATGTCTGGCATTACTGCATATATCGATTTTTCCCCCTGAATCTACGCACATACTAAATTTCATTAAAATCGCTAGAGTCGTTTCCGAGTTTCCGATTATATATATATATATATATATATATATATATACAAGAATTGCTCGTTTTTAGGTATTGGATAAATGTTAACTTTACGACTCTGTCGTATTTCATTATATGTCAACACTGAAATATTTTTTCTCTTTCTTTCTTCCGGTTGCCAACACAAGGCAAGGTGAGTGTCGTGGTTTTATCACATGGTTTTTGGAAAAGAAAATTAGTGAATTCGTTGGTTTTTGTGAAATACAAATAGGATTGACCATCAAAGGTAATACTTCAACTTGTGAACTAAGTTGTAAAGCATTAGGTCTGAGTTACTTCATTGTCAAAAATCTTCATGCTGGTTGGACCCAGTACTGTAACGCTTTCCGGTCTTAAAATGTATTTAATTATTTCAAATTGATACTTGCCTTTTACTGTATTGATTTCACTTTATTAAACTGAAATGTTTAAATAAACAAAGTGCGTTGGTCATACAACAACCTAACCTCATTTTGTGATCTGATCTTGTAATGAAACAGAGTAGTATAATTTTTTCATATACTTCTGTAATTATTCAATAATTTACGAATAGTATCGTTCAAAAAGTTGCTTTCGTTTTCGACCATCATTAGAAATGTTGTTTGTTTCTTCAAATTTGTTTTGGTTAAGAGATTTGTAATAACTTGCAGATGCGTTCCGTGACACTAAAGGATGTCGAACAAGATAAGGTCGTTAAGACCGTAGCAGCTCATTTGAAAAAGTATGTATATGAACGAATATGAAGTCAATATATAGCTGATGTTATAGAATAGATTATAAATATATTCAATAGATTTCTAAGTATGGTAGGGCCATGCAACAGGCTTCATTGTTGCAGTAATGGATAGGTCTGTCTTGAGAAGTAATACATAAACTCATAGGAAATCGGCGTGTAGTAGAAGAGTTATTCTTCTGCATTTTTGATGAGTGAGTTAACAATGGACAAGCCCTTTCCCAATCAGATGTTCATGGGTGGCGGTATTAAATTAACATCAGATGAACTTTCAGCTCACTTGCCATCTTCTTACAAAACTAAAAAGATTTTGTAAAATATGTTATATTATTGATTTAATAAGTACTAATGATAATTTAAACTTAAAAGAAATTTAAACAAAGAATATTATCAGTCATGAGTTCAATAAAGTTGGTTATTCTTTATTTACTTATTTTTAATAGTGGAAAATATGCATCCCATAGAACATTTAATAATTGTTTAAAATTTTAATAGAACTGGCAAAGTTAAGGTGCCAGAGCACATGGACTTGGTGAAGACTGGTCGCTTTAAGGAGCTTGCCCCCTATGACCCTGACTGGTTCTATGTTCGTTGTGCTGCAGTACTCCGCCACATTTACATCCGTTCTCCAGTTGGAGTTAAGACAGTCACTAAGATTTTTGGTGGCCGTAAACGTAATGGAGTCACTCCTTCACACTTCTGCAGGTAAATATTTGTTACGTATCCATTCACAGTAGTCTTATGCAAAAAGCAAGTGTCATCTTTTCACTTTCATATGTCAGAATTGATTAAACTTTTTTTAAATTTTTTCTGAGCACATTTTTACACAACATTTTCTAGTCGCAAAATAAGCAACACTTTCGATGGGTACCAGTTAACAACAGAAGTATGTTTATCTACTTTTGTTTTTGCAAGTAAATACATGTTATGAATATAAAACACCCAGTTACTTGATAGACACTCTGTTCATAACACAATAGTTTTCCAGTTGTGGAGATAGAACCCACACCCTTCTATTACAATAATCAGGGTACCCACTATGCCAATCGGGTTGTCAGTAAATAAAAAATAGTAATAAAAAAAAATCATTTGCTGGTTAATTCATCTTGAAATAGCAGTACAAAAACGCAAGCAGTCTAATAAATGACTTGTAAAATTTTAGAATGGGCAGTTAGATAAATAGCTTAGCAATTCACAGGTAGCACAGACGTCTGATGGTCACTTTAGCTTTATTCCTAAGAGGGTGTGGAGCTTTAAGCTTTTTGCTTCATTTTAGCATCCAGGCATTATTTCATTATTATTTTCAATGAATCCTATCAAATTAGAAAGACCTGTCATTGTTGTAGCATATATTAAACTTATATAGTTGTATAGGATGTTACAAATTATGTTTCTTTTTTATTTATTTAGTTTGTTTGAAAATTATATTTTTTTAATTATGTAGTTTTTAAGGTTCATATTTTTTATGATTATTGGCAAGTAGTTTTTATGATTAGTGGCGTTAGAAGTGTTTATGTAGTCATGTAAGGTTTCGGTTGTAATATCATTCTGTATAACTGCTGCTTTAAATCGGTGCTCAAACTTAATATAATTATAATAATTTATTTGTAAAATATTGGTACAATAATTAGTAGACAATATTTAGAATAATTAGTACATAGAATATAGCAATATATTTAAGTAGTAATTAAATATATTGCTATATTCTATGTTATAGTGTGCAAATATTTATAATTAAATAATTTAAAAGAAGTACAGAATGATGAGAAATTAATTGCTTGGTTGGTAATTTTATAGTAACATTCTTCTGTTAACATGTTGTATAGTTTCTCCTTAAAAAAAAATTAATTTAATTTCTCCAAGTCATTTGGAAGTTAAATGTTAATTTTAAGGTTTTGTTGATAAATTTAAAGTGTTTTTAGTTTAAATAGTTAATTAGATTGAACAGCTCTTATGTTGTGCTAACATTTATGTCATGACCCTGCAACATTTAATTTTTATATAGGCTAAAATTTAGGCATTTTCAAATTAGCCTTTATAATAAATAGTTAGCCGTGATAGCTCAGAGTCCGGGTGCTCGCCTTTAATTTAATATACTCTAGCAACCTGAATGGAAAACTAGGTATGTGTAATCAAGTTCATTAATTGAATACTGAATTATCATATTCAGAATGAAAGACCAACATTAAGAGGGAATTGTTTGTAGTATTGTTATAAGTTTTGGTACATTATCTTGAATAATTTGTGGTATGGGAGGTTAAGATTACTAAAACTAAAAGAATGAGGAAAAAAATGCGAGGCAAAAAGACAACTTAATAGAATAATTATTGTAGCTAATGCTATCTAGTATATATGTTAAACGTTTCTCCTTTTATTTACCTGACTACTGAAAGAGGGTAAGATTTTTCAAAGTTGTATATTATGTATGTGGTTAACTCTTTACCACACTACAGCCAAGTTCTTTTGATGGATTTCAATATGTATGAGGTGACATTTTATGTATATGCTGTTTTTTATTTTATTTAATAATTTAGAATTGATGGTCTCTGCATAATTTTTCAAATAAAATTAATTTTGTTTCCAGATCATCGGGTAGCATTGCCCGCAAGGCTTTGCAGGCTCTTGAAGCCCTGAAATTAGTGGAGAAAGTACCTGACGGTGGCCGTATTCTCACATTTCAAGGGCGACGCGATCTTGACAGAATCGCCGCACAAGTACGTCAAAAAGCCAAGCAGCAAGCAAAACAGAGTGTGATTGTACTGTAATTTTATGACTGTTAAAAAATAAAAAAAACAAATCACATGGTTTTCAAATTACTAGTATGCTACCTTCATCTGTTTGAATTAGAGGTGCAATAAATAGTTATAGGTATTGATCAAATTTAAATAAATACCTTAAATTGTAAATTTTTGTACATAAATGAACAAAAACTTTCGGCGCTGCGGGATTCGAACCTATTCTGGTTTAGCGCCCACACGATTTATCAACTAAGCTAAGCGGCCGATGACCTCACGGTGCGAAACTTATGACATGTATCTACGTTAATTTTATTGTATTTTTAGCAATTACACCTTACAAATAACATTCAACGATGATTATTTGTAACAAGAGTTTTAAAATTTTTGATCAATTTGTTTTTTTTTAATTAATAGTGCTAGTCTATGCACTTAAGATGAAACTGTAAATTGTAAATTTTTGTAGATAAATAAACAAAACAGCGCTGCGGGATTTGAAAACAAATAAGGTAATAGTGAGATTCTACAATGAATAAGCTCAAGAATTATACTGCTCCCATGCATCTATAGATTTATAAATAATAGCCGAACCTCGATGTCGTAAAAACCTCTTAAATTATTAAAAAGTGTTCTCTTTACCTTGGATCTCCAAACCTCTCACTGAGAATACCTTTAGAACTTCATTTGGGCATTGGCTTCAATAGCCAAAAATATACGAAACTTGATCGGAAACAACCGCGTGACAGGAACGATGGAGGAAACGTTATACGAGGCAGAGAGGATATTCCTTGTTTCAAATTCATACAAACTAACACTACTTACATTACCTACTGTAAAGAATTTATTGGCGCCTACATCCCATCTTCTGAACACCCAAGAAGAAACAGGCTCGGCATGCAGTTTTTTTTTTCACGTGGGTCCATTTATGTACTTGCGTCGAGTGCTACTGCCAAAAGCCTACTTTATTCAGAGTAGGGACTACTATGGGTAAACCCCATAGTAGTATAGTAGCATAGTGATATATCACTGTGCAGTATATAGATAAAGGGATACAGATCGTGTACCTTAAAGCTCGTAATAAATAATTGTTGTAAAACACATCAAAATGGCGCTAGCCTACCAACGATGTATTACCTACCCAGCCCTTGAGCCCTCTTAGGCGTTTGGATAATATGTGCCCCATGAATGGGTGCACTTAATGAGGGCAGAAGTGCTTAATTTTGAAGCCAAACTGTTCAGCAATGGGGAGCCCTCGAGAGTATAGAGGTTCCTAAGCGATCTAAAGTTATTCATTCACCTCACTTCAAGACCTCAATGTTTTCAGTAGACTAAATGAGCGATGTGAAGTTGGGAGAGTGGCTGGTTTCGAGGTTGTGAGGAACTATAAATTCATACCATTCTGATGGACTGCGGTATTTGCCGCTTTGCAGATGATTACTAGTATCTGGATGAAACTAACCGAAAGGAGTTTGGTCACCTTATGGGGGATTCAATTCCAGGCCCTGTGCGTGGACGTGAATTTTTTAAGTGACGAGTTTGTTAATTGCTCTACTTCGGTTCACATGACCGGAGGAAGTGGATTTCGCAGTGGCTCTTTCGCTTTCCTTGAAAGTGATAGTTTCAACCTCTTCGTTAACCCTGCGAAGGTGTTCGGGGTTGACCGGAAGCAGACTGGGGCCGCATTGATACTTGAGGCTGTCATCTAGGCATTCTCTTCGTCCAGTGTTATCAGGAGAGTTAGCTGTGGCATCGTGGTTATACGAGTATGGTAACCTTTGAGGGATTTGGGAAGCATCCAGAAAGCTAGGTGAAAAGGTTTAATCGAATAGAGGGGAATCGTATCATTCGTTTCGCAAGGCGCTTATGCGCGTTTTCACCTTGTGTTATAAATTACGTAATTGGCAGCAATTCGATTCATAAGAATAGGTGGCCGCATTCTGTTTCGAGCATTGCTCGAAGACGGTGTGGACGTGTCTTGTCGGGGTCACGAATATTGGACACCGTATCCCGTTTAGCGTTGATTTTATAGGGGATTAATGTAAGTGCGGATTAGCTTCGATAAGCTTAGACTACTTTTTGCCAACTGAATACTGTTTTAATTTGGGGAGTGGCTGTTGCTGAGGGCCATAGCCGAAGTATAAGTGATCCGTGATCAGAATGAACCTGATTAATCATTTCGATGTCGCACATGGTGAAGTTGATATTTTTGACGATCGCAATATCAAAAAAATCCGATATATGACCCTTATATGGGGGAAGTTCGTGTGTTCAGCAGAGGGAAACGATGTCGGAATCGAGCCTGTCTGATAACGAGTCGAGTGCAGTGCCTAGACTGATTATTCTGGTTGATTAATACGCGTGTCCTTCCTATTGAAATCTGCGAGGATGGCGCCTCCTATTGAGAGGAGGGCCTCAAAGTTGGAGCGCAATATAACTGCTCTTGATCTACATGGAAGGTAGACCGAAGCTATTGTTATGGGGGAGTTACCAGTCATATCCAGTTGATATATCCAACTGTGGCCTCGAGATGCATTAGCGCGGGCGTATCGACCGGTACCCAGTGAAGGGATCTTTTGTAAAGGTTCCTGCGGCATGCCGCCGGACTTGCCGCATAAACGAGTCTTCGGCATGGCCCGGCTCAGTTTTGTACGCGAAATGATGCTCTGCGGCGAGTACGCGTCAAAAACGAGTCCGAGTGCCGATCGTTTTGTGCACTGGGGTGGGCGTCAGCTTTCAAATAAAAAAAGAATCATCAAAATCGGTTTACTCAGTTGAAAGTGCTGAGGTAACTAACATAAAAAAAATTACAGTCGAATTGAGAACGTCCTCCGTTTTTGAAAAAAATAATCCACGACAAATCAGAGCGCTTGTTCATCCTACATTCGCGTCCCCTGCATACTTCATTCCACCAGGTTGAATGCGCGTCTAAGTTAGTCTTTTTGCCACGGCGGCCCACGGGTGAAGACGTGTGCAGCTCCTGCGTCCCGCGTCCGATTCATCTTCTCATCGCGATGTGATTGGTAAAGAATGAAGCGAAAAATTGAAGATAAAAATATAAGAAGTTGGACATATTCGTTCGTTGTAAAAGTGCTCTTCTCAGAGCTACTGCTATCTTCTTTCTTAGAGTCCTTTTCAGAGCAACCTGGTAAGTTAAGATTTTTTTCAGAACTGTTCTACTACTGTTTTACCGAATACAGAGCGTCACTTGTGATATGCCACAGGTCTAAAAATCTGTAATAAGCAATGATGAGGCTACTCATGGATGTTAGCACAATAACGATTTAAATTATATCATAACTTTCGGTAATGAGGTGGAATTTGTTAATGCCTAGGGGTGGTGCTAATTTCAAATCCGGTGCTAGGTACGGCGAACGAATGCCACAGAATTATCGACTGGTTGCCGCACTCTGAGAACGGGAGAGAAACGCATCGTAATTTCATCATTTATGATTTATTAAACAATAAAACGATTATTAGGCTTCATTGTAATTTATTTATTATTCTTTAAAATAAAAAGGATTAAAAATATCTATCTTTCCAAACCAAGAATTAATCAAGAAAGGAGACGCTGCTAGGCGGACGGCATCGTCATGTCGTAGCATCATCAAGCACCAGCTATGTTGTTCTCCTGAGTCGGCGTTGAGTCTTCTGCCTACGGATATCTTACGAACAAGCTTTTACTGGGTTAACAGTAAATAAACAACATTTGAAAAGAACATTAGCATTAAACATTAGTACCTGGAGGACCGAGCTTTGCTCGGTTTTTTTTTTGTAAGTCATGTATTTTGGAAATATAAAAAATAAAGAAAAGATATAGAAAAAAAATAAGTGTGTAAATGATTGTGATACGAACACGGCCGTCTGTTTTGGGGCCGCCCGATTACCGACTGAGCTATTGTAACATTTTTTTTTGCGGCGAAATTTACCGTCGTATTCGAATGATATTTTTCATTCCCTGAAAACAGGGATAACAGGACATTTTTTAAAAATGAAACCTAGCTAGATCGATTTTTCGCCCCCGAATCTACGCACATACTAAATTCAGTTTAATACAGTCTCTGATGGCCTTGAATGTAACTGTCAAAGTAAATGATATTGTCAAGTGCTGTATGGAGAAATCCCAAGCCGCTAAAGTTTAATAATAAAATATAATACTGTCAAGTGTCATTGTGTTTTTATTGTTACACTGCGCAGTTTTGTTCAATTTACGTCTATGATCGGATGGATTTGAAATTGCAGTGATGACAAAATGTTTACGGTCTTAGGACGTCGAATCAGTTTTCTTGCATTATTGTGTTTCATTTCATATGTTGTGTCCTTTCACCAGCATGAATTGTCGGAAAAAGTATTGTACGTGGCACAAGAACCGTTTCAGGGTTCCGGAAAACTGTTTGTAATTAATAAATTCGATGCAGAAGATCATGGCTTGCATTTTGAAAGGCAAAAACGGGATGCGTCGACAACCTTAACGACGCCGGCACTAGAGAAAAATATAAGTACATGGGTAATGTACCGTTTCCTTATTAACCGAACACAATCATTTGTCTCCCCTTTGTAACTTGGATTTTTATTGTCGCCTGCACAATGACAGTGATTTATTTGATACTTTTAAAATGAGATTTCTATTATACCTACGTATATATTGTTTTGTTTTGTGGACTTTCTATTTTTATTACACAATGATATTGCATTTATTTACGTTGACATATACAGTGTACATTTGTGAACTACATATTGTTTTTATTATTCAAATAAAAATAAATACATTATCATCTATATTTATATTAAGGCTTCGTTTTCTTTAAAGATCAAACACTCATTTGAATCAATTTAGATTTTCTGATTATGATTTTTATCATGCCTGATTATATATTCATGTACATATTTCATTTTTAGACCACTCATCTTAATGACAGTCATCAGCAGTTGATGGTACATTGGGTAGGTGAGGGATCCAAGGTTATAATTTGCTTGGCAAGAGATTCTAGCCCCAGGAATAAGGGAACACTCTCACCATCAGCACTCTTCATCTCATATGACTATGGGAAGACCTTTGTTAACAGAACTGAGAGCTTTAGATTGGATGACTCTCCTGACAGTGGATATGCTCAACTTGATAAATTTTTCAATCATCCAAAGCATCCTGAGTTTGTGAGTATATTTAATTGCCAATACAGGCTACATTTACTATGAAGTATTCCACTATCTTTATTATATTAATAGGTGAAATTAAATCTTTGAACTCAGAGACTAAGAAAAGAGAAGAGAAAAAATAAAAGATTTTTTTATGGTCAAAATTGTTAATTTTTTAAAAGAAAACTATTATTGTATATTATATTTTATGCATTCCAATAATTTCTATTTATATTTATTTCTGTTCTTATTTACTTTCTTCTTTCAGTGTGTTTTTGTTGATTCTACTAATAAAAGGCTTTACTATACTGATGATAATGGCCAAAATATACATAGAACAGAGCTCAATTTTCAACCAAGTGAGCTGGCTTTTGATGAAGACAACCCAAAAAGATTTGTTGTTTTGGATAAAGTGGGACGTAACAGAATGGTGAATATATATACTTATGAAAATTTGAACATACATTTATAAAATTTTTAAAATTAATACCTGATTTTCTTTCTTGAAATTCAAGTTGATTTTCTTGTATTATCAGTGTCTTATTTCTGTGTCCATGAACCAAAATAGAATTTTTAATTGTAACCATTTTATTTATATCATATAAGCCATTAATTGAAGAGTTTTTTCAGCTTTATATGACTTTCAATGGAGGCAAGACATTCACACTGATTCAGAGTTATGTGAAGTCTTTCTTCTGGTCTTCTGGGCCTGGATTTTCGAAAGTGTTTTATGTAGAGCGTTGGGAACCAAACCGTAGCACCACTGTGCTCAGTGTCAATGATCCTGAGAACATGACAAATGCTGAAGTATTATTCTCTGATGCTAAAGAGTTCCATATCAAGGGGGACTACATGTTTGCTATGAGGCAGAAAGATGTAAGTAATAAATTTATTTTTAATGCTATATTAATGATTGTATTACTTTATTGTTTTAGTAATGTAATTTGAGTTCTTTATGATTTATGTACATTATAGAATAATATGAGAGATCTGTGATATATTAATAAGATACAACAGTAACAGGGGAGTTTGGCTGGTTTTTGAATATATAAAAAGCATGATACAGTAGAACCTAAAGTCGAAGGTCCATCAAGGGAAATACAAAAAAAATTTGTTGCACAGTTTTCCAATTTTGGAGGACTTCAACTTCAGCAGATTTTAATTTAACTTGTAGAGGTTTCAATTCTTTCCTATTAATTTTGAGTTGAGGATGTGAAAATTCAAGCTACAGAAATAACAAAAGTATCATTAAAATAAGAAAAAAATGTGTAGGAATTAAAACATTTAGTTATTCTCTTTTGCTTTAGATAATTTGGTGGCTCGCTATCTATGGCATTGTAATTTGTTTGTTCTCTATCTATAGCATTGTCTAAGGTATAAAAAAGAGAAAATTCTTGTTCTTCAGAGTTCCTGGTTTGCTCTATAAAATTCCATCAAATATTAAATGTTGTTCTTGCGTCTTTGATGTAGTATTATTCGATTCTTCTATGTCATTTAAATCTTTAGTAAGAGTTGTCTTGGCTACTGAATCGATGATGGTAGAACCAAACTATTTCTGACAATTTTTCAATGGACAGCAAATGACTTGTTTCCCTAGATTTCAAATAAAATCAAAAATAATAAAAATAAACTGACATCTAGCAAGTACTTGTTTACTAGAGTCATAAATAACTTTTTTATCCTTGGGATTGCATTTTATTAAGTGGTAATCTTATTTATTGTATGTTCTTCAACTGTTTTTTCTGAAACAATGGTATATATTGTATTTACATTGTCCACAAATTCTTAAAGTGTTCAAGATACAGAGGTTCAATTTAATTTTTTTTAAAAATTACCAAAATGGTTTGCAGGGACTCACTGATTATTTCGACCGAGAGAGGGTTGAAATTTCGATTAATCGAAGTTTTGGAGGTTGAAAGGAAGGGAATAAAACATTTTTTTCAATTTTTGTAGTTTTTGACTTCTCGAGGTTCTACTGATTACATATTCACAGTCTGATAACATATTTTCTGATTTACTATTAGTATGCATGCTAAAACTTCAGAAGTATGCATACATTGCTGTATATACTACAGGATTGAATAATTTTCCAACTTCATGTAAATGTGGAACATATTAAACATGTGACTTAACTATGCCCAATTCTGTGTTGTTCTCTACATTATATAAGTGCAGTGAATTTTGGAAATAGCTGAACAACAACTGCTATAACAAAGTTAATATGCCCTTAAGACATCTGTTAATGATTACACTATTCTATTTTGATTGTCTGTGAAAATATGAGATCGCAACGTATGGGATGTAAAGTATATCGCACAACAATATTTAGAGGGAACTTGGTCAAATCTTCGATGTTGATAAAATGGGTTGAAGCACCAGGCAGAAATTTACAATGCCTTACTCTATTACGATCGGACGTAAATGTTTATGTATGTGTATCATAATACGTACACAGTACATATACGGTTATGGAGCCCTCTCTAAATCCACTCCACAGAGGAAGTAATTTATCAAGAGAATAATACCGGGCGAAATTGCACTGCTCTTTATGTCTAAGCGTTCTCGTATAAGTACAGGGTCAGTTCTGAGAAATAGAGCATATTAATAACACGATAAGTAACTTGTAAGCTTTTGGGAATTCAATCGGTGTGATCTGATTGTGGAATACTTATCCATATATTTGATATAAAAGTGAAGATATTTCAATTAAAAAAAGTATTTATATATGCCTATACAAGTATGTGTGCCTCTACAGAGGGTATCAGGGTAAAGCCTACGAAGCGATCCCACTGCGGATTGGCATACTTCACATATCTTTAATTTTTTTTGTTTTTATTTAGAAAACATTGTGGTTCCATCACGATGTTTTCCTTCACCGATGAGGACATAAAGATATTTCGGGCTCCCCAGCTAGTGTTGAGTTTTTTTAATTTACGTTAAGTGTTAAGAAATTGGAAACAAAGCATCTTTATAATTCATTAAGTCGACGGTTTATTGTTGTTTTTTTTTCTTTTTACTTTTAAGCTTAATTACCTTTAAGTTACCTATGAATTAAAAGTCTGTAAATTTGTTTTACACTCCATCTGCGTTCTCGCTTTGAAGCCTTTCTTACTTTTTAATCCTCTGCATATTTTTTTGGGCTACACCGGAGACCTAAAATGTTCAAACAATGCATGGAATACGCGTGATAAATTTACGCCGAAGCCATAAAATGATCGCCTATGTAAAGAAATAAAGTTAGTTGTCGACTAATCTGATTACGTTATCGAAATGTCGACGTCCGACAGCCGCCGTGTGATTCGAAAACGAAAGCCTTTCTGAGGGAGAAAACGTTTGTCACATCGACCGATAAGGGGAAACTTGGTTTTCGTTTTCCTTTGTTACGAATTGTCATCGAAAGTGCATTTCGAGATAATGCCCCAACAGCACACATAACAGCCGAACATGCCGCTGCCAACTCATTTTGATTTGTAGCACGATAGTTATTATATATCAAATAGACATTTCCTGTCCACGTATTAGTCAAACAGAATAAATAAAGCCTTTATAAGGCTGAAATAGACATTGAAACGAAAGACCATTTTAGATTCGAAGCTAAATGTATTAGTAAAATCGATAATAACACGAGGCAATTATGGCGCTGAGACTGACCTTTAATATTGTCTTACTTGAACATTATCTACTTTATTGCAATTAATATATATTTTAACAACTTCGAAAAGTAAATCCGTAATGAAATTTGTGAAGTTATTGTAAAAAAAATTAACCAAAACTTTATTTGCTTTAATAAACGATTGATATACAAGGTGTAGGTACATGTTTTTCAAATACTAAGCGTTAATATTCTACACTATCGCACACTTATTATTGCAATCGATAATTAGCGACCGGTAAATTTCTGTGACCTTGTAACGTCCTGGAATGTTCTTGACTAAAAATAATAAAGTATTTTCGTACATTGTGCGCATTAAGTTTGTTTTGTATGTCGAGACAAGGAGAATAATGTCAGTATATTAGGGATAGAGATTGGGGAGATAATAAAATGTTGCACATTTTAATTATTAGTTCCAATAATAATTTGTACCTTTCCCAATTTTAACTTCTTACCTAGTATCATACCTCGTTGTTGTAATAGATGTAAACCACCACTAGCAATACACTTCATTCGGGCCTGTCCCGGTGCCAACTCCAAACTCCCAATGACCCGGGGTCGCCCATCAAAAAATCACATAACAACCCCAACTGATCCATTGGGAAAGAAGATGAATGACGCGTTCCGTGTTCGTATCGGGCTGGTCCTATATCTTAACAAATCCCTCTAGTAAACTGCCCCTTAAGGCACAAACTTTTACTATACAAATCTTGCGTACAACCCATAACGTCGCGCTTGCCGTCCGGACGCTAAGCGATTTTCAAGAGTTTTGATTCATCGAACTAGTCGTAAATCATTCTAATCCTCTGGTGGTAGACGTGGTGAATCACCGACATGACATCAAAGCGACCCCTTACAAAAGTAACGTCCTTGTCGACCGGGGAGGGGCACATAGGTACGTCGCACCCACCGGGCGTCCTGCTAGGCAACGCTATACTCACACAGTGCCAACCACACATAGCCGATTAGCTCACCAAGAGCACGGCGAAACAAAAACAACGCGTACACTAGATACACCCGCGTTTCAGGGCGGTTCTTAATGTCCACAGGCCGTCTCCAGCCTCCAAATAATACAGTCAACGGCCATCGGGGTCACGGTCCGTGCCGAACCTTCAAGGCCCTTAGGTGATATTCTTCTCGTTTAACGTGACGCTCGCATGAACCACATGCGCGGCCCCCAATGCCCCCGGTGGGCCGTATCGAGCTCGTGATATCAGGCTAGTCCTCAAGTTCTGCGTTCGTTGAAGCTTTTATAGTGTACATACTGAAAGCAAAAAGATCAGTTAAAGTATTTCACCGTTTCCTTAGCTAGGTTTCCTTAAGCTTTCTATCCGATATCTTATAACTTCGGCATTGTTAAAGCACGTACGAATGGCCTTATTAAACACACTAGTTCGGTATGTTAACACGTCCACCATTTTCGGATCATCTCATTTTACCATCATGTCAGGTCTTTATCATCATCATGCAGATCTGTGAAAAGTTTTATATTAAAAGTACATAGCATCATTACATGAAAGTATGGCTTGCGTAATCACTAGTTTCCGTGGCTATAATTTGACTGAATTTATCTAATGTACTCATGTAAAATCACTATTGATTCATATTAGACAACAACATTATCGTTACTTTGGTTCGCATGTAGCTTGAATCACTTTAATAAGCATAAATCATAATTTACAGCACTTGGTCATACAGATATTAGAAAGATATTTTTTTTGGAAACGATTTTGTCCGTTGTTTGTTCAACTGTCTGATGCACACCATCAAGCGATTAATGGAGCAATCATTGAACCTCGTTAGGTATTGTATGAGCGTGACTCTTAATCATCAGGTGAATAAACTCAATACTCCGACGTTGAATTTTTTTTTTTTGATTTCTTTATTTCTCTGGACTTCTTTCTTTACTGTATTGCCATTTTTTTATAATATACATATTCACTCATCTACACTATATACAGAGTTTTATCTATCCATTTATTAACTACTACTGGATACCCGCAAATTCCTCTGTGTTGCTTTTATATTAACAATGTATGTACATTTCTATGTGCATAAAATGAAATACTCATCACTGATGTTTGATAATGTTGTTTCCATGACTAAGTGCCTAAGAAATAAAACTTAGAAGAATTAGTTGAAATGTTTTCAGTAGGCTTTCCGCACCTGCGCGGCTGACCTCTATCATTTTATTTATATAGATAATACAGTTTGAAAAAAATGC